AAGCAAGAAAGCTCCAATTTATAGATCACGGATTTCGCACGTTCACATGTCCCAACAATCTTAAGTACATGGCTTCAAGCTCATGCGCGGTAGAGTATATTTCTATGATCATCCCCATAACGCGCTTACCAAAAGGTATACGCATATGTGCACATAGAGCATACACGCATAAATGCCTGTTATTTTTACTCACATGCGCTTCCTCATAGCTTCTTCCCAGGTGTTCTCTTCGCAAAGGTTTCCATCGGGGGAGACTGAATCGAGTGCATGGATCGAGATTAAGGCAGGGCTAAAAAAAAAAAAAATCTGAAAAAAGGTAAAGAAAAACAGATCCCCCTGTTCCCTATTTTGCATACTCCTCCTACCCCCTGTTTGAAGAAAGCCAAATAGAGAAAAAAAAAATAGAATAAAATAGAAGGAAAGCAATACACAATGAAATGATGATGAAGCACATGTGTTTACAGCATATGTGGGGCTTATTGTGCATTTTTGGAGTTATTTGGATCTCTTTTTTTTTTTGTGAATAAATGGATGCCTTGCCCCCATTCGTGCTTCCTTTTAGTTTATTATTATTATCATCATTTTTTTTGTGGCTATTTTTTCCGTAAGCCAAAAGGAGGGTCATTGCACAACAGAGGATTGTGCATCCCGCTTGGGGGCTCTTTCGACAGTGCAACTGGTTCCGTTGGGGTAATCCTCCTAGTGCGAAACTGCCTCCGTTTGGCGAGTCCCGAACAGAGCACCCCCCATGAATTAGTGCCCCTCCGTACATGTGCGTCTGAATTTTTCCATTAAGGCGAACTTATATAGGGGGAGGTCGTACACGAAAATGTTATGTTTGGATAAAGAGGATGAGATAAAATTTTCCAAAAAAGTCTACGCGCCGCGAAATAAGCAGGAGGGGAGCAGACGCCCCATTAGTGGGGGTGGACCGGACGAGAGGGTGCACCTTGGCAATGGGCAACATGGGCAAAATGACCCAAGTGATCCCAGTGGTCTGAGTGCCCCAAATAATACGGCGCTTGACGAAAATGCCCCGAGCAACAGCACCGACGGAATATCCACTAATGAAGTCATTTACATAAACACCAGCTCGTGCAATTCCTTCGTCTTCATAATCACGAAAATTTGCTTCTATGTGTTTGACAATTACGACTTTTCCTTCGTTAGTTTATACGCTTTAAAACATGACAATGTTGACAAGTACGGGCACCACAACAAGGTCGTTTTGTCACCCGTTGACAACACTATATATATAGTCAGCACAAATTTTCAATATGTGTATGCGTACAATATAGCTAACAAGAATGACGTTGTTATGTTGGATTATGAAAAGAATGCACACTCGATAAATATTTTGGAATATTCTGATGATGACTCGAGTGAAAATGAAAATGAATATTATGCTTACATCACGTATATTAAGAAAAAGTATAGGAAAAAAAAAATACATAAAAATGTGTGTATAAAACTGTTGACCGTTCTGTACCTCCCCATTCCTTCCAATTGCCTGATGATAACGAAAAATAACATTTTATTTTTTTCCTACGACACGGATGAAATATTCATTTCGGAAAATGTGAAATCTGTCTTGGCTGCCACCTCGCGTCATACCAGGGCGGCGCCTCGGAGCAGCGTTATTCCCAACGAGGGAAAAAATGACGCACAGAACAAGAAATTCCTTCCAAACGGAAATAGGGGCGACAGTAACAATAGTGTTAACAAGCTTGTTATTAACACACAGATTGTAAGCCTTAAGGGAATTTATTTTAGTAGAAGAGCAAGGGGGGGCAAAAGATTCCTAAGGACAACTAAAGAGGAGAATAATAAAATGTGCAAAGGGAACCAAGCCCGTGCAGATACCAAGCACATCTTGAGTCTGCTTCAACGAATGAGTGAAAAACCTAAAATAAAAAAAAAAACTGGTCGTGTATATTATTCCCCCAGAAAAGGGTGGAAAATTCGGGTGCGCGTGGGGAAACTTCCCACCCTTCAACATGTAGAGGCGTACTGCAACCAGCTGAGACGCGGCTTGCTTCCATCGTGTTGGGATGCCACAGCAAAACGGAAGAGGAATAAAAGAAGGATGAACAATAATGCCAATCCAAGTGGTGATGTCAATCGAAGCGGTGGTGACAGTACCAGTCAGACGAGGCGCCACTCAGGCTGGAAGATCTGCAGGCCCACCTACCTGCACGGCGCCAACCGAGAAAAAAACCTGTACAAGTTTATAAGGAGCAAAAAAGTCGGCATAACAAATAAGCACATGAGAAGAATCGCCAAAGAAGGAATTGTCAAAGTAGAATTTAGCGAGCACAACGATTATGTCTTACTACTGAGTCGCGAGGGAGATTTTTACATTTTCTCCTTTTTTCGTCATTTTTTCAATGTTTCGAAAAGTGAGTCCTGTTACCATTCTGGGAGGAAAGTCCACGCGGGGAACCTCAAGGGGCTGAAAGGGACAGGCACAGAACGTCAAAACATGCAGAAAAGAAAAACGAAAAAAAAAAAAACACAGCGAGGGACGGAGCAAACAAGTAGTCCTAACCATTGGACAAGTGCTAAATATGACAAAGGTGATGCCACTCACAATGAGAAAGTAACAATCCCTCGTAATGAAATCCAATGCAGCGATAACCATGTAAGGAATAGAAAACGAAAACCGGTCATTGGCATTTACGTGGGTACCTCTATAATAGACGTGAGCATGAACATTTACAGAAAAATGATCCTAGTGATAACCGAAAATTTGATCATAAAGGCATATGGGACTTATCCATACGTGTGCAAACATACCTTCGAAAAGAGCATATTTACAATAGACACATTTAATGCGTGGAGCAATTCACACCATTACTACAACTTCCTTCTCTGGAACAAGCAACATAATTTTTTTCTCATCTCCGTAAATGAAAACAGTTATTACATTTTTAACACGAATGGAACTTTGTACTATTCGATGAAGCAGGACTCTTCCTCCCATGATGGATCAAACGAAAATGTGGACTACGTAGAAAATAATCCTCAGGATGGTTCTACTCATCGAAGTGATGATGAAGGGAGAGATCTTTCACCTCCACCTGGGGTAGCCTCTCCAGATGGCGTCCCTCCCAAACGAAGCGCAAAACGTACATCCTCATTCTGCAGCAATGCATTGGCTAGAGGTAAAAAAAATAGCATAAGACACGCACATGTAAACATATCCTTCGTCTTTAATGATTTCAAACTGTTTCATGCCAATTGGAAAGACGAAAGGCACCACTATATCACAGTAAAAAATGTCTTATACCTAAATGACATATATAGTAATAACAAAACATTCCACTATAATAGTAATTATTACACAAATGAGAAGAGTCAGAGAGTATACATTGGATTAAATAACATCGTCATGTTCGATACGAACATCAATAATTTTAATTTGAGTAACCACGAGAAGAATGTACTGAACATAAAGGAGATTATAACTCCTTTTAAATACGTGAAAAAGTGCTACTCAAACTTTAGCAACACGTACATGCTAATCATTTTTAAGACAATCTGTATTTACAGCTTTCAAAAAAAAGCCTTTTCATATTTTGTCGATGATTATCTCAAGTTCTTTTTTCACAACTATCCTGCGGGATGGTTGTTTGATGATATTTTTTTTGTCACATGTTTGCACAACAAATATGATGAAAATAATTTTCGGCACTTCAAAAGGAAGGAAGACTTGGGCGCAGGGAGGAGCAGCATATTTTTCAGGAGGGCCCTCACTGGCGAGGGCTACATGGGCTTCGAGCTGTTCAGCATGGACTACGGGACTGCGGAGGTGCGAACGGCTCTCGATGGGGGGGGAGAAGCAGGTGGAGAGGAAGAAGCACATGAAGAGGATGAAGGAAACGAAAAATATGAACCGAACGGAAAAGATGAACCGAACGGAAAGGATGAAGCGAACGGAAAGGATGAAGCGAACCGAGAGGATGAGACAGATGGAGAGAGCGAATCGTTCGAGTTGCTCGAATCAGATGGGTCATCCAAATCGTCCAAATCGAACGCGAAGGCAGCCCCATCTCTCGAAGGTCCCTCGAGGGGCAAAGACATCCGCGAAAAAACGGAGATCCCCAAAGCAAACAGAGACCACCGCACTGTCGACGAATCGAAGTTGCTAAACTATCTCTTCAATATCAACCATAACGAATCGGACATGTACTACAAATACTTTGAGGAATATTTTAACACAAACAAGGGGAACATATACTCGAAGCCGTTCTCCGTGTTTTATAATAATTTTTTTCTGAAGGAAGAGGAAAACGTGTTTTTAGAGACTTACCTGATGGAAGAGCGCATCAGGGAGGAGGAGCAAGTAACCCTTCCCAGGGTGAACCACCCCCAGGGAGAAGCTCCCTCTGAAGATGGTGAAAAAGGGCCAAGTGGTGAACAAAATCCACCCCAAGCTTCAGAATCATACCTTGGTGATAAGACGCACCTTGCACATAACGACTACAGCGAGTTGCAGAGCAAATTGAATTCTTACGCAGAATCGAGCGAAAACGTGGGCAACGCGGAAAATGGGAAGGGTGTTAGCGAGCGGAAAAAGCACCTCAGCAGTGAAGACCAAAACGGGGAAAGCAGTTTTTCATACGAAAGTAGCACTTCCCTACAGAGTGATGCAAGTGTGCCTGACGGCGGAGGACCAAGAAGTAATTTAAAAAAAACAAATGTCAAAGGAGATAGCTCCGATTATGGCGTCCCCCCTTATGATAACACATACAATGCTAAAGAGAAAACAAATCAGAAAAAAAGAAGCGAGCAGGAGTACGTAACCAAACTGACACGCTCGTATGAAGAAATAATTAGAAAAAATAATTTCTATTATATCATATACCTTTATGACATAAACAACGCCCTGCGGTTTAGCAACTACACGTTGTCCATAAAGATGTTATATAGGCCTATATTGACCCACGTTTACTATGACAAAAGTCGCCTAGCCGAAGAGGACAACGGGGAGAGAACAGGGGAGACGAACAAACAGTCTAACGAATCAACCTCGGCGGATACGTCAAGAATGGACCACATGATAAGCGAAAGGTTTCTAATAGTGCTGGACGCATTTTACAATTTATTCTGCTTTAAAATTAGTAAAGTAAAAAGCAAAGATGCAGATAAGCAGGAATATTTTCTAAAATCAGAAAACATTTTTATTTTGCCTCTAAATAGGGACAAGAGATTTATCGAGCCAAGGTGCTTCTACACACTGTTCGACATTTTCCATTACGTGTTTCTTAATTACGACAATTCTCTTCACTTTCTGCATATTTATCTAGACAGGAACGATCGTTACGATTTTGAATTTACTCGCACGTTTAGCAGCAGAGTGGACTATCTCGAAGTTGTAAAGGGGAAGAATTACTTTAATTACTACGCTCTACCAGCCCCAATAAAATATATCTGGCCCCCGCCATGCTATTACACCTATTTGCTTTACTACTACGTGGTTTACCTACTGTATGGCATTAATGGGGGCAAGAAGGAGAAGCGTGGAAAATCGACAAACCGACTTTCTGCAAGTGCAAAGGGAGGAACGGTGAATGGTGAGGGGAATTGCCAAGGAGGGGACAAAATAAATGCAGAGAAGGAGACGCAGTATAAGGAAAATGCCCCAATGATAGGATCATTAAAGGGGGCAGCAGAACCCTCTTCGCGAAGTGCTAACCATTTTGAGGAATTAGAAAACTGTCAACCATACGAGTGTTCAGTCGAGGCATCCTCTTTTGCCTTCTTCACGCTGAGCCCATCGGAGGGGGGGAAACCAAACGAGAAGGTCAAATTATTTGAGAGCATTTTCAAGGATAAGCTAAATAAACACTCAGAAAATTATAAAAGCCTGGTTCGATTAAAAAAAAAAATGAATTGTGTAGACTTGAACCGATGGGAAGGATTCAGAAAGGAGGCGCTTTTTCACCTCAGCAATTTTAGACACCTTATAAATAGTGCCCCTCTATCTTATAGGCCTATTTTGCGTGGAGACAAAACGAACGAACAGTATGTGGAGAGGGACACTCACTTGGGAAAATATGGCAAAACGTGGGAAGCGCATTCCAAGTGGAAGGGGCATAACACCTTGCTGGAAAAATTTATCCTTTCAGTAATTCCTCATATACTATACCATGGAAACAAAATTGAAAATAAACTCAACCGGACAGTGCTGAAGTACAGTTTCTATTCCATTATTGAAGAGCTCGAGAATAAGGAGAAATCTTGCTATGTCTACCTTAGTAGCAACAACAAGATGAGCGTAATAAGTGTGAGTAAGTGCCCCAACCAGTTTTGCCTCCTAAACGCATTAAAAAATATCGCCCTTTTTGGCAGCGACAGGTATGTCAATTGCCCGCTAGTGATTTATCGGCATGTAGGGTTGTCCCGGTTTGCAGCTGATCACAATTCCCATCTGCATCACACTGTGCACCACATGGGATTGTGCATACACATCGTGTGCAGCCAAATATGGAAGGGGAAAAAAAAAATGACCTTACCTATCAGGGGGGATGCAAACACATCAAGGACGACAGAAGGACAGGCGAAGTCCAAAGAGATTGCAAGAAACAAACGGAACACAAACAATGCCAATTCGTTTCAATCCCCGTCTTCATACGACATAATAAGCTTCAAAATAAACAGCTACATTGACACAATTTTATTTAAATATTTCAAACTGTACAGTAACGCATACTCTTACAGAAATGGGAAGTATCAACCGGTGTATGACTCAAAATGGAGAAAAAAAAAACTTAGCCGAATCATCATTAACATTGTAACGAAATACGTAACTTGGAACATGTTCGCAACGAACATTTTGGACATCGTTTTGTATAAATCGCTTAACAAACTGAATGACCTCTACATTGCGGCATATAAAATTATTTACAACTATGTCACGAGGCTGAGTAATTCTCCATACTATGACATCTTTACGGGAAAGGGCAGAGACGATACCATCTTGAATATATCACCCGCGGTTTTATACTCCCTCTTTTTGTCCAAGCAGTGCAGAGAGAGGAGCCCCACCAGCCGGTTAGAGGATGCCCTGTTTCGTGGAGTGTTTGGTGTGAACAATTCCCATCTGAGTGAGGAACCGTATTGTAACGAATATAGGACAGCACATGAGGGAACGAAGCGGAAAGATGCAGAGAAGGAAAACGGAGGGGTGGAAAAATCGAACAAAAAATTAAAGGAAAAATTCATTTCTTTTCTGAACGAAATGGGCGCAAATGTTTCCCCCAGCGACGCGCCAAAAATTGGCCTTCTCAAGGAAGGTGTACAAGATGAACGCGTTTACTGCGCTATTCTTCATTTGTTTAGGCTGAAAAGGGGGTTGGAAGCGTCCAGTGGAAAGACGAAAGTTGCTTCAGAGGAGGAATCACCCCGCCAATTGTGCAACAACGCGACGGAGGGGCGAATTCCCCCGTTCGACGTCTACACTGATTACGCGTACAAAATAAACTGCAACGTTTACTACGCTTGCCTATACCTGCTGTGCGTGCTGAAGAGGAGGCACGTCTTCCACCTCATGTTTCTCCTAAAAATGTTGCGAAAGTTTTGCAAAATTCACATCGCAGAGGTTGTTATCAACATTATAAGGAAGATGGATCCCTACGTCAGCGCCATCCTGATGTATGCCCTCGGCAATTATATGCCTCACGATTTCATGCATCTTTGCTTACCCAATCAAAGGTACAACGTCTGCTCCCTATTCATCATTAATGTACAGAACTATCTGGGCATATACGACGTTCGGAAATTTTATTGCATGTACATTCTCTGTATGAGTCTCAGAAATAATATTAAGTATGCGGAAGGCCTGATCAATTTCATGTCAATACTGTTTTACACTCTGTTTGAAAATAAGGGGGGACACTACCCATTTCATTGCAACTATTTTGGGCTGCAAGAAACAACAAAAAGAAAAATCATGGAGAACGCCTTAACAAGAACGCACAGTAGTTGTGCCAACCATGACGATTTCCTCTTTCTCCTTTTGTGCGCAAACGCTTTTAACAACATCAAATTGGGGAAAGCAGATGGGATGAGTCTCTTCCAATTTTTGCTAGGAAATTCGAACACCGGTGACGCTATGCTGAGCAGAAGAAGCCCAGACGCAGAGAGTGGCAGTCACAACCAGAAAAATCATTACGTATACGATGAAGAAGCAGTACACAGAGAAAGAAGAAATAAACTCTCCCTGAAAATCAAAACCTTCACTTTCAAGAAATTCCAAATGAACAAAATTATCTGCGAGTTTTTTTACAACCAGGATGTGATAGACTTTTTGTTAAACAATATCGATTCGTTCGCCAAGCTGCACACGTGTAATTTGTCCGTCTTTGATTGCTCCCCCAGTCAACGGCGACTCCGTGCTTCCCCCCCAGAAGACGAACAAAGTGTAGCCCTAGCAGAAGTGAAAAATATCTACGTCAGGTTTATCCTTCTGGTGCAAAACATTGTGTGCTACTACATTTACAACATGCTGTGGTTCGAACTTTACTACTTTGTGACGGGCCTAAAGGTGGACGTTCTCTCCTTTTTCTCACATTCGTACTTTTTCAAGTCGAGTTTGTTCCAGAAGGTGTTTTGGGGAATCTGCCCCGTCGACGTTTCTCTGCATGGCTACACCGATTGGGAGTTTCATTTTGTAAATTTAGACAACTCAGGGACGGTTCCACATGGTAATGAATCACCTCACCTGGGCAGCACCATGTGGGAAGAACAGGGGGGACCCGTTGAGCACAGCGAAGGGGAAAATCATCCTAAGCGAAAAGAGAACAATGAGCATTGTAAAAATAGCAAAGGAAACAAGCGAAGTGGCCCTAAGATGAACCCCCCCAGCGGTAGTAATGAAGACCTTCATGAGGGGGATCACCCCAGTGGGGAGAAACTCCAGGGAGGACGTTACGATGACGGAAGCGGTGACGGAAACGAAAACGGAAAGGCTTCCCCACCACAAAACATGTCGACCACTTTCAAAGAGAACTATCAGGAATACACAAAATATATGAACCACATGAAAAACTTGGGAACAATTTTTGACAAAGTGGAAAAGGAAAACCAAGTTATTAATAAATCTTTTTCACAGCAGGGATCACAGAAGTGCTTTCTCATCGATATATATAAATCGTTTAAGAGCCATTTTAATATAAGCTTCTGGACGATGAAGAAGGGAAACCTCAAAAGGAAGGACACGTCCAGCGTGAGCGAAGAATACACGCGAAGCGTGTCCAAGACGGAAATAGAAAATGAAAAAAACGACTATCGCAGAAATTTATATTCATACAATATATACAATAAACTCACAAATTACACTTTTCTGGAAACGCATTTTGCTCCATCTGTTTATAAATATATACCAATTTACAACACGTTAAAATATTTATACTATTTCTTTCGTGTGTGTAATGTCAAGAATACGGAACATCCCAAGAGGTACTTAAAATATAAAATTAAGAAAAGAATTTACAATTATATTTGTTCCACTATTGTCGATCTTAAAGGGAAAGCAAATTGGGATGACACAAATGTTGGACAGAAAAAAAAAAAAAAAAAAAAAAAAAAAAAATTTCATTTATTGAAACCTGCTGCATTCACAAAAATGACATCATCTGGTTTTTATTAAGAATTTTTTTATTGTTAAAATTGCCGATTCATGCTTTGGCGCTAACGCTGTATTGCAAAAATTACGTAATGCTGAACATTTTGATGAGCATATTTCCCCACCTCTACCACATCATCAATTACATTTTAAATATGAATGGAACCCATTTTTTATATAAAAAAAGGGAAGAAAGTGCGAAAAGGCAGAACGGCATTAACGCAAAACATGAACAAAGTGAAAATGTTAATTTTATCTTATCCAGTGAAGAATTCAATCGGAAGCTTTGCGAATACTGTTATGAGCATATTCTCCACTACAAGCGGAAAAGCATAACGCCTTTTTCAAAGAGAATATGCCAAAAAATTTATGGAAAAGAAATTTGCGACAGCGAAGACATCTCCAGTATGTATGACCATTATATGTCATGCGAATGTTTGAACAATTTAGTTTTCTTGAGGAAGAAGCTGTCTGATTTGAGAAGAAGCATATGAGTCAGGCCTTTTCACTCCTCCAGTGAATATTTCGTGTGACGTAAAATTCCTTTTCCGCGTCGATTACATAATTGTTTGTGTGTGCGCCTCTCATGGGTGATACGCTTACCTACGCGTTTGTTTATTTTTTTTTGTCAACAGTGGCCTAAACAGTGTAGTACTCGGCCCCTTTCATTTGCCAACCCACATTTATTAGCAGCGGGGACTACTCCGATGTGGCTCCAGCTTGGTGTCTCTTTTTTTTTGTTGTGCCGCTAAAGACATCCCACCATCTGCTCACTCTGACCATACGCTAACGGGAAAAAAAAATAGAATAAAATAAGCGTAATCTTTATTCCGCCCCCCGTGTACTACGCGGAAAGCTGTCCCAAAGTGGGATATTTTCATTTGTCACATTTGGGCCCCCCCAAAAAAGCATTAACCGCTACACATATGATAAGTTCTTAAGCCACATAGCCTTCTTTCGAATAAAAAAAAAATCATGAACATATGAAATGAATACACAAATGAATAAACACACTAGTGGGGTGTTGCCATAATGGCTGATTTCCTGTCCCCACCTTGGGACACGAAAAAGAAACGCCACTGTCACGAAAGGGTGACGCTGCTGAAAAAAAAAATTCCTTTTTTTCAATGCGCTCATGCATGCGTAACGTTTTGTTACTATGTCACAAAAAAAAGGGGTCACTTATTAGGTGTTTTTTTTTTTTTTTTTTTTCACGCTGCTCACGTGCCATTCATTCCATACTGCTGGGTCCACTCATCATACTTCTTCAAATCGTCGACAGACAGCGACGGCTTCGCATTGGATATGGCTGTTTTGAAATCTTGCACGGATAGAGGCGGCAACAGTAATTCGTTTTCATTTAAACTCATAACGTTCTTTTCAACTTTGGTTGCGTCGGGATCGCCAGGGGAACAGGGAGTATAGAAAATTTGGCCATTCCTCTTTACTTGCTTAAAAAACTTCGAGAGGAGGCATTTCTTCACCGGCATGTAAATCGCATCCCTGCATATGATGTCGATATCAGCGCCTGTGTAATTTTCCGTTACAGTTGCGAAGTATTTAATGTCTTCTTTTCCTATGTTGCTTGGGCTGTTTCCTGCGCTGCCACTTCCGCCAACATTTACGTTTTTGCCATCCACTGGAGCTTCACCCTTGCCACTACTCTCACTGCCGTTTATGTATTTCTCAAATATCTTCATCCTGGCGTACACATTTGGGAGAGGAATATATATTCTCTTTTCAAACCTGCGCCTGAAGCCACTGTCTAGGGACCACGGTGTGTTGGTCGCCCCCATGACGATGATATTATTTTTGTAATTATTTAAACCGCTCATGTTTATTAAAAACTCTGTCTTTATTCGCCTCGTCGATTCATTCTCTCCGTCTGTTCTGGAACCACACAAGGAATCAATTTCGTCAATAAAAATTATAGCAGGTGCATGTTCTTTGGCTGTATCGAATAGGCATTTAATATATTTTTCACTTTCTCCTTGATATTTACTTACCAAGTCGGATGACGAGACGTTGAAAAAATTCATGTTGCATTCATTGGAGCAAGCTAACGCTAGGAAGGTCTTCCCAGTCCCTGGAGGTCCATATAGTAGGATACCCTTATATGGCAGAGCAGAAGAGTTAAACAGCTTTGGAAATTTCAAGGGGAAAATAATTGCTTCTTTCAGTATCTCCTTTGCTGTTTCTAATCCGCAAACATCTGACCATTTCACATTTTTATCTTTATTTAGAATAAATTCTTTGATTTGTTTTTTCATATTTTCTTTACTTTCTTCTGTGCTTGCTCCCCCCCCTCCTACCTTTTCCTTTGTCTCCATATTTTCCTTTTTGTTAATTATTTCCTTCAAATTCTCCGCCCTCGTCATGTAGATTTCCATTTTTTTTAAAATTAAATCCCTGATGTTTGAATTCTTTTCATACTTACAGAAGAAGTTAAAATATTGCAAACTTTGTATGTACAAGTTCAGGGCAGCTTTATAGTTTTTCTTTTCATCCTCTATAACAGCATCTTTGGCGAATTTAACGGCTTGGTTAATCGTTTCCTCCGAGTCCATCCTCCTTACGTGCTGCTCCAAAGAAGGCGTTAAATGGTCGTTGTAAAGTTTAGGCGACGCGTCGATTTGGTTATGAGGGATCTGTCAATACATAGTACTTTACACATGACGAAGTGGGACCTACTGTGTGATTTTAATTGCTACTTTGGGGAGCTCAACCAGGGGGTGAAGAAATGTGTCTTAAAATTGGGTAAACCAGGTTTCCCTCTCAACAAAGTACACCCAGCAGTGCGAAAGAGCAAATGTAAAGGCGTATGTACATTCAATCAGTTAAACACGAGGACACGTAAGGGCAAGTGATGAATTGCACCTGCAATGGTACAAGCCGAACACGAAATGTATGTAGCAAATCAGTTCTTAGCGCATTAGCGTCAAGTGGAACGAAAAAAAAAGAAAAAAGGAAAAAGAAAAAAAAGAAAAAAGAGAGAGAAAAAAAAAGAAAAATTAAGTCCAAGAAGAACACAACCCTGTGTCGGTTAGGAAAATTTCTTCCAAAGAATTGCCCCCAAACTTATGTGCATATTTTTCTTGTCAGAAAGGGGACAAACAAACGATTGTATCGCCTTCACTTGTAAGATGGATGCACTTTAAGAATCACCCGTTCCTGTATCTACCTATGCGAGTTAAAATGGTCGCTACAACGATTCACTTTAAAGATGAGCCAGGACGGGAAAACAGATGAAGTGGGAGATGCTTCCCTGAGTGTTACACATGCGTGCATAGGTATATCTTGTTAATGTCAATTTGAGTCATGTACGTGTAAAAACGCTGCGTCATTTTGCCCCCCGGTGGTAACAGTTTGTTCTGTTATTTTCTGCTCCTCCTGTCCTTTTCGTTCTTTTGCGATTTTGTAACTTTGCACTTTTAAGTTTTACACTTTTCACTTTTACAATTATCAGTTCTGCACTTTCCAGTTTTGCATTTTCAACTTGGCATTTTTCTTTTTTACATGTTTCCCCCCTCCGTGTCTACGCAAGTTTACTCAGATTGAACTTTAAAACGTCCCATTCACCACTTTAAAATTGTGTATTTGGCCGCTGGGTCATTGCAGTTATTTTGCCTTTCCAAATAGGGGGAAAAAAAAAAAAAAAGGCGGCAAACGCAGGATAATAAAACCAAAACAGCACATGAATATGAAACATTTTCCTTAACGAAAAAAATTTACATAAATGAAACTTTCGCGTCCCACCGCAATGCTCGTTACACAGAAGGTAAATAACAAATCCGAGGGAAAAAAAAAGCAAAGCGCCACGTAACTTCAAAAGCAAACAGAAAAACTTTCTATAAAAACGAACATTTTGAAGAACGCCTTTGTAGCGAAAAAAAAAAATAATGAAATAAAATAAAAGAAGTCATAAAGCGCAAAGCATAAACAAATGAACAGAACAGAAGTATACAATAAACGCCAAATAGCTAATGAATAAATAACCCTGCTTTATGCGGGTATTTATTTATTTTATTTTTTCTTCCAGCCTTAGCATCATCCACAGGGGAATATTTCTGAAAGCACGCTAAGCACGATGAGAAGAAACAGATTAACCTGACCAGCGTCAATCCAAAGAGAACAAAGCGAACACGTGAGAAGCCATCATGTAGTATTACAAGAGAAATATACAGATGCCACCTTTCCAGCGTCCTCGATTTTGTGTTTTACGCTCATATTTTGTGCGGTGAGTACACTTGGTTTATGCCCATTTCTGAGGGCACTTTAACCACTGGGTTTTTTTTTTACCCACAAAATAGTGAAAAAATGAATGACCAGGAGGAAGAAAATAAAAGGGGGGGAGAGAAATCAGTAAAAAAGAGCATCGACATTCGTTTTGACAGAGATGAAATGGACATTCCTGTTGAGAAGGCTCGTGGGGGAAGGCAAAACGCGCGAACGAGGGATGATTTACACGTGAGCACAGATAAGAACGGACATGTGAACACAAATGGAAGCGCTCAGGTTAACCAACATCTGTCGAAAAAGAATGAAGCAACCGAGGACAAGGAACAGTTGCTAATATTTAAGAACTACATGGAAAGGGAGGCAGGAAAGAGCAGTGAAGAGAGGAAAGAGCAACCCAGCAGAGGCAAAAGTATCCCCCTAAAGGAGGAGCAGCCCAGTAAAGAGCCAAATGGATCGACGAAGGAACAGCAGAATGGCACAGATGAGGACGAGTTCGAAATTCCCATACATAGGAAAAAAAGAAACCAGCGCACTGATTTTTTAAGTGAAGGCTTTTTTAAAAATAAAGATTATGAAGAGGAGCAGCAGGAGGAAAACAAAAGATTGCACATATTGGAAATTTTCAATTATCATGATTTCCCTGCAAATTTATTTGGGAGAAAAAAAACGAAAACAAAAAATAAGGAAAAAAAATTTGTCATCGAGTTTGTAGACACATATAATGACGATTTTGTAAGGAAAAACATTAACAACAATCTTATATTTGAGTCAATAGGGGTATGTAAAGGAATTTCCTTTTTGCACATAAACCAAAATATCAATGTAAACTGCCTAGGGTCCAAAGACAACAATGCCTTTTATTTTTACAAAATGATACCATTTGATAAGATTTTCTCCAAGGATACCATGAGCAAAATATTAAGTAGTAAAAGTGCGCCTCCCCAAAATGAGGATACAAGACAGCAAAGTAATAGGAAAGGACACCAAGTGAAGAGCGATCTGGAGAGAGCACAAAAAAATGAGGAAACTAATCCCCTTTGGAAAAATTATAACATGATAAAAAATTACCTTTTTAATAAAAAAAAAGAAAAAAAAACCCTGTACAACGATTTATATTTATCCCCCTATGAAAAAAATTTAAAATCAAGTATATGTATAGGGACTCATATATACTCCAAAGAAAGGGCCGTGAAAAAATGTTTCGGGTTGCTAATAGAGCAAAACGTATACACCGCTGATCAACCCCAGGATGAAAATTCATCAGTCAATAAAAATTTGGAAAATCTGTACTTTGATTTTCCATTTCATAGAAACCAAATAAGTTTCAAACCTATTTACTATCCGTATAAGAATATCCCCATTGTGAGCCACTCTTTTCACAGTTATTTTAAAAATATCCAGTGGGAAAAAATGAACAAGTTGAAGGATGCTCAGTTTTATTACGACGTAAAAAATAGCCTCTTCAATTTTTCAAAGGACGTTTATTTGACGACCAAGGGGGCCATTAGGCACTTCGATTCGCCCAAGTAAGGAAATAAAAGAGAGGGAGAGATAGGCAGAGATAGAGCCTTCCTCTTTTGGGTTTCATACGTGCGTAAACTTCTTTCATGTTACATCGGACTGATTATCCACGCCTTCACGTGACAGGTTGTTTAAAATAGAGATGCTCTTTTTTAAAATTGCCTCCACCACCACTATCCTCCCGCAGGGACTTCATCTTCCAAACCGCCAACCGAATGAAGGACATCAACTTCCAAATGAAGAAGATTTGCGAAAGGTCCTTTTACATAGTGCACGATTCCGTAATGAGGCTCAGCAAGGTCTCCAAAAGTTCTTAAAACAAAAGGACGCGGGGGTGCCCATCAATGCGTGCATGTGCGTAGTGTTTTTCTGTACATACCAGCAGACGCAATTCTGTTTTTCATTTTTTTTTCTTCTGTGAATTCCCTTTCTGTCGTTATCCGCGCAGTGGGGAAAGGGGAAAAACGATGCCGTGTGCAAAGTTTGACATTTTGCTCTTTCCCATTCATCAATTTTTTAAACGAAAATTTAATTAACTCCTTTTTTTTTTTTTTTTGAATTCTTTTACATTTGCGTTTAACAAAAATAAAAAAAAAAAAAACGGATTATCCTTCTCCTATTTTGCGATAAAACAGGTATAAATACGCACCTACAAAGATATGGATAATTACACTCAACGGTGGGGAGCAAACCTTTAAATGGGCAAAAAAAATAAAATGGATCCATTACATGATCCCTTATTTGCAGCGCGTTAATTATAAAGGGCATAAAAAAAAAGAGAAAAAAATCTTCTCACAAGTTGGTAACCGCTTTAACAGGACTGTATATATATGTCTCCTTTAGAAACGTATTTTTCCCCACTTCGCCAAACATTTTAATGAACAAGTTGAAGGGGTAAAAAAAATTTCCAATAATTTTCCAACCTTTTTCGAGTAAATTTCCAGAAAATTGGAAAAAGGGATGCGTCGAAAGAGCTATCATTATGCCCACATAACGTGAGGAAATAACTCCTCCATGGTGATAAATAGATCTAAAAAATTGACCAAACTGGATAACATATCACTGCGTTTATTGTATTAAGTAGGCACGTAAAGAATGAACCAAACCACGACGGGGAATTTTTTTCCCTATAGCGTTGGATGAATTTCTGCTACATTGCTTCTGCATTTTTCTGCACTTTTTCAGTATTTTTTATATTTTTCTGGTATTTTTCTCCATTTTTCTGTATTTTTTTTTTTTTTCCACACCATGTAAGTACCATTTTGGCCCTATCAATGTAGGAAAAAAAAAAAAAAAGGCAACGCGAATAGAGACCCGAATGGATTTCTTCTTCCACCTTGAAAGGAGATAATACAAAAAAGTTGCGCATAGAAAATGAAAGATAAAGGTTCGGAGGGTTTTCTACCTCGCCGCATACTTCGGGAAAATTTTTTTTTTTGGCGCATATACGATAGTCCTACCTACAAATGAGTGAATAGTTTATCAAGATACTGTATATAAAATTACATATATATTTGGCTATGTGCGCATTTGGGTGCATATGTCATATGCTGTATGTATATATATAACCTCAGTGTTCCCTTCATTGGCCAGAAGGTTGCCACTCTGCGCAAGATGCGATAAATAAATATTTGTGGGCTGCCTCACGAGAAAAACGCATATAAATATATATATATATATATAATAAATGCAATATAATGCCGCGTTATATTTTTTCCCTCTATGTTTATGATGTTCTTGTGCTTTCCTTTATCATCGCCAATACCAGCGAAGTTGCGTAGTTACTCGCAAGCATTCCTGCGTTGTTTCCTCTTCTTCTTTTTTTTAAACCATTTTTTAAATCAGTTGAACGGGATGTACAACTGGAAAAAGAAGATGTGTTTAAAAGATATGGAAACGAAACTTTGCGCGCAAGGAGAACGTCTTCCCCGCGGGCTCGCTTTTTCCAGAGGGAAAAAATTTAAACTTATGTAGGCGCAAATATATATGTATGCATATACGTGCTTATGCCTGCGTATACGCTGAATGTTTGCCTACCCTCGTAGCATGCCATAAAGTGTTGATTTACGAAGTGAGGCAGAAAAAGCCGCGGCGAAGCAGTTGCGACGAAGCGGGCGCCAACATCGTGACAGACGAGGCCCAGAACCGCGCTACCAAGCGGCTCTAGAGCATAGCATACGCGCATGAAAATAGCACGCCACGGCCACCACATACAGTTTTGAGTAAGCATTATGTAATGACCCTTTTAGCTGACGAACATGTTCGCGTCCATCCACCAGTCAGAGCGACAACTAACTGGTAAGCACTTGCGAATTCAAAGGAAGAGGAGGGAATAATTCCCCCCGTTTTGTGGAAACTTTACAAATTAAGGAGCGCCAAAAAAAAGAAAAAAAAAAGGAAGAGATAGAACATACAAAGTAACAGAGGGGCACACCGGAAAAAGGTAGCACCTAAACGTAAGCCTAACATAATATGTATAAGAAAGTCCACGATATGGACAAAAGGAAAGGGAGAAAAAAACAGCAGAAGGATGTAAGAAGTTACGACTTGAAGGAAACGGGAAAGATCTTCAAAAACAAGAAGAACAATTTAAAGAAAAGGAGCTTCGGCCTCAATAAGAACTGGAAAAAGAAAATTAACCATACGTACGGAAGAGAGGAAAAAAAAGGAAGCAGAAAACGATTTAATAGTAACAACCATGGAACAGACAATTATTCCAATGCAGGGCGGAGGAACTCCACCCCTCCTATGAACAATAAGAAACCTGCATGTGACTTTGAGAACCTGGTTGACGATGTTGTGGAAAATAAAATAAGCTTAAAAAAAACTGATGAACATTTTATTGTCAACTTGAAGAAGATATACAACGTAAACCACGTCTGGTTTTCCCTAAAAAGAAATCTAGAATATATTGTATCGAAATATGTTCTGAAAAAAAGGAAAAAAAATTACCAATACGATGATGTAAATTTCTATTTGAAGAAGATGCGGAGGAGGCAGAGAAAAAAGGCAAAGGCCATAGAAAATGAAAATGAGGAAGAAGCTCTTGTTGGTGAGAACGAGCAGAAGTATCACCAAACAGCAAGGACTCAGCATAAATTGCTTCTTCTAAACTCGGAGGATATGATCTTCCAGCTTGATGAGGAGGCCAAAGAAATTGTACTAAACAGCAAAATGTGGAAACGTAAAATAAAGCAACTATTAAAAAAGAAAATATCCGCCTGTGAGGAAAGGAAAAATGTTGATAGTCCTAATGAGGATGATTTTACGAACAGGTACCGAACGATCGATTACTACGATGTGCCAGTCTGTCTGCAGCGTTTGTACGAACTTGGAAATGAGTACAAGGATAGCAGCAACTACGGTGTTGGCGCGAATAATACCAATAGTGGCGGAAGCCCTAGCAATCACCATCACCAAGGGAGCAAAATAAATCTGAAACTGCTGCTAAAGAGGAAGGTAAGCATGAGCAGCGTGTACAACTTGCTTTACGATATTGGCCTAAATCTAATGTGCGAATATTATAAGATTTACGTGGAAAAGTATTCAGAAGATGAAGAAAAGATCCATCTCGAAATTATACACAACAAGAGCAATATCTTCAGCGATCGAATTAACAACATGGTTGTGTTGTTTAAGAAAAACCCACTAGTGTACATCCTGTATGTAAAAATTCTTCTAGATTATTATAAAGTGAGGGAAGACATCTTCATAAAGAAATCCATTTTGGAGTGCTTAAAACATGTGTTCATGTTCGTTTTGCCAAGTGAGAGCTTAGAAGCTTTGGAAGATAATAACAGAGAGGTTATGAATTACATTTTAAATGTCCTATTTAACCGATTCAACTTTAAAGAATATAATTTCTCTTGCTTCTTTTTCTTCCTAAATTCGTTACTATACATATACGCCCTTGAAACTTTCACCAAGAAGCTATTCCTACAGTACATTTTCATTTTGAAGAATGCAATGTACAGCTCAATACCGAGTGTCTTCTTTGTTTCAGTAAACAATTTAAAAGAATTTTGTTTAAAAAAAACAGAGAATAAATTTGCAAATCTGAACATCCTTCTCGAGGGCTACTTATCCATTAAAAAGGGAAATCCCCTGCTTCTAAATATACTCAAACATATAATAACCATAGAGAATATGCAGCACTATGTCGTTTTTTACCTCTTCGAACAAGTATTATCCAGCTTAAGATGCTGCGTTGAGGAAATCGTGCAGTCCTTAAAAAATGGAGACAAGGAAGATGTTTTAAATAAACAGTTGAAGAACGAAATTGTCAACATGAACAGGTCATTGTTCATTCTATACAAAATTAAGAGCAACTCTTTTAATGACATCACGGAAAATATTATCTATTTTGCTACCTACATTTTTGAGATGTTTTCGAAGAATGTTTTCGAACTTTTCGATAAGAGAAATGTCCTGCTAAAAGAATGGAGCATAGAAAAAATGAGCTACATTAAATATACCTCTGTGGAAGCGGAAAGTTGCAAAAGTGGGAAAGCGCCAAAGGATGACTTGAGGTGCGCTTCTGCTGCAAACCTGGGGGATAACCAACCAGTATATGGGATTTGCCAGGTGCCCCCCCCGGACTTATGTCGAATGAGCCAACTAGGAAGAGCTGCAAGAAATGGTGAATTATCCACCAAGGAGGAAGAGTCCAATTGGAGCAATGGAAGCACGACGAAGCTTGTGGGCGCGCCTAGCAACAGCCAATCCATGCACAGCGATAATTCCTCGGCCATCGGGGCCAGTACCAGACAGACGGACGTGATTAGCGGGGAGGAATTCGGGGAAGTCACTGAAGAGCGCCTTACAGGGGGGGACAAACTCGGGAAGGAAGTCCAAAGAGGAGTGCAAAATGGTGCCCAAAATGGTACCCAAACGGGAGCCCCCAATAGGCACTCCCGCGGAAGCAAACCCCTTGAGCCTCATAAAAAAACGGCGGACGACTGCACCTTCCAAAAATACTGCCTGTACGGATACCTGAGCAAAACGATTCTGAAGGTGCTTTCCAGTATCCTGGTGAACAACATCTACTTCATCATTTACAACAGGTGCATTCTGTTGAAGAGTCAGAACAGCACCGGAGGAGGGAGCGAGAAGCCAGCAGAGGAGAAGTACCTCCACAGCTTAAACATTCTCTCCTTGTTAAAAATAATAAAAAGTGTGGAGTCCTACAAAATAAAAATTAATTTCCTCATCATCATGTTCCTCCTTCTGTATTCATCAAATCAAATAGACGATAATATTTACTGCTATTTTTACAGCATCTTAAGAAATATGAATTATTATGAAAGTGATCACACGTACAATTTCTACGGGCTGCTAACAGTACTAATACTTACGGACAGAAATTTAATCCGAAATGTTAGCTTTATAAAACGAATTTTTCAACATAGCATTCATTCGAAGGAATCATGGACCCTTTTATTTTCCCTCATGATGATACGTTATTTAGTTTTAAAAAAAAACATCCTCATGAAATTTTTGTTTAATGATGAAAATAGTTTATATGAACAGAACTTGGATAATGTGAAGAATGCCTACATGGTCAAGTTTAACAAATACCACAAAGAGGGAAAAAATCCAATTGTCAATGATGAGATGTTTCTTTACAATAAGTCAGTAAATAATCCTCTGGATGCCAATTCTATACTAACCCATTTTTATGAGTTTTATAATTTTTCCTCCTTACTGAACGACAATTTTAAGAATATGCTCTTCGAATTTAGGAACATAACGATTTTTAATTATAATTTTATTCAGATGAACAAATCTGGTGTGCACAGAAATAGCTTCGCGAATAATGGGTTCCTGCGTAGTAGACCCCTTCTGGGCGAGCTAAATCAGAGAAGCGGGCCAATGTCTAAGGGCGCTATTGCGAATGGAAGCGCGCCGAGTGCAGACAAATCAGACTCGAATGAGGGCGGTTCATCTGAAACCCCTCTCCTCGAGGGGAAAAACCCACAAGAGAAGGCTGCTCTTCAAAACGATGTAGATAGAAACCGCAATGACGACGATGATGATGACGATATAGTAATTAACGTCAGGACGAATCGGCAGTGGAGGAGGAACACACAAATGAGTGGTGCCACGGACGGTTTAGCCCCTAGCGTGCGCGCTCCGATCCCCCCCCCACCAATGATAAACGAAACGACGATTAACAAAAAAGCTGGTAATTGGTCCCAATTCACAGCGAAGCAGCGCCCTCCAGAACCACCTCCCAGTTTACATGATTCGTCCTCTGGCTATCCACATATGTACCACTACGAAACGAAGGACGTCATTAACATCCTGGATAAGCTATCAGTAGAATACAAAAGCGCCCAAGAGCAAGTGAACATGCTCAATATTTTTAACAATTTTATGCACGACTCTTGCATCAACGAAAAAAGAGAAAAAAACGATCAAGTGAAAACGCAAGGAATGTTTAAATTAATGAACAAGCCATACCAGAAATATTTTTACGACATCCTGAACGTATATAATAACAATAGTTTTAAAAAATTTAAGGACAAGTATCAAATTAGGAGAAAGAAGCGTGTCGATGATGTGAGTGGCGCTCGAGGAACTTCCGAAGATGACGATGATACCACGGGGTCAGTCCTGGATGAGGAACAGGAGGAAGACGAATTCTTGGATGATTACATAAATAAAAATTTTGACGTAGGCAAAGACCTGGACGATGATGTATTTTTTTTTGACCCGATGACACAAAAAAAAAAAAGGAAAAAAAGTGAACAAGATAATTTTTCCAAGGACAAAAATTTAAAGAATATTTCCAAAAAGAAAAAGGAGCAACATACTGACGCTCCTACCGATGACGTGATGGAATTTTCAGATTTCACCAAGCTGAAAAGGAAGAAGAAGGGTGAATAAGTTAATTGTCCCACGCCATGCGTGCTTCTCTCATTTGTCCAACACGTGCTTATATGTATACATACGTGTGTATCACCTTTACCTACATATGCACACATAAGCACCCTTCCCTGTGTGCCTTTTTTTTCCAGAAATGGTAAATTAAACGGGGAATTCTCTTTACCCGCCTCCAATGGGTGGATCATTTCTTTGGTAAATTTGTTGGCACTTCATTTTGCGCCATTGCGTTGTGGCGCTCAGGTGCCATGTTATGTTGCAGCTGCACCTTCGGAGCTGTACGTTTGCAGTGGTACGTTGTGACCGTACGTTGCGATTATATGTGCAATATTTTTGGGGGGCATTTTGTCGCCCCATTTTTTCCATTTCTTTGCCCGATTTTTTCACTTTTTCCCCCGTTTTGTCTCATTTTGCCTAGGCTACCCTACACTCAACAATTGCAAAACGGGCACCCTCGCCGCGTCACACGCAGGGGAAACACCTCTTCATCTGAACTCTTTGTTTAACCCACCCTTTTTAAAATTTCGCAGAAAATAACCACATTTCGTATGTTACAAAAAATTGGGAATTTTATTTTTGATGCATTTTTATGCAAGAAAAGAAAAAAAAAAAAAACAAAGGAAAAAGGGAATGAGAGAAAGACGTGATTTAATAATTAACTTTTTAATTTTTTCTCAAAGTAAGACACGTAGTCGTAATCGATTTTTTTTATTTTGTCCACGAGGGCGTCCATATTGTCGCTTAATATTTTTTTATAGGTATCTGAGGAGAAACTCTTTATGGTCGTTTCTGCATCGTTCAGTATTTTTATTTTGCTGCATGTTCTCTCTGTATGACCACATGGCGTTGCTTCCAGCATCTCACGTTCGCTCTGTTGCGAGTCTCCGAAGTTGTCTTCACTTTCCGCAGGTGTGTTGAATTTTTTTCTATGTGTAATTTCCGTGCTTGCGTCCTCTTCGTCTTCTTCCTCTTCGCCTTCTTCCTCCTCTTCGCCTTCTTCCTCCTCTTCGCCTTCTTCCTCTTCTTTGTCTTCTTCATCTTGCTCCTCCGTATTATCATCCAAGCTTTCATCCTCCTCCACCTCCTCATCGTCGTTTTCGTCCTCTTCACTTTCCTCCTGCGCATCTGTATCATCATCTAAACTCTCTTCTCCATCCTCATCATCGTCCCAGTATTCATCCTCCTCCAAATCCTCTGCATCTTCTCTTTTTTCCTCTTCCATCTCCCCTTCCCTGCTAACAACTTCGCCACCCGCATGGTCTGCCATTTCACTCTCTCCTGTTTTACTCATGCATGTGTCTTCGTACCTCACTTGTTTTCCCTTCCTGGAATGGGGATCTCCGCTGCCATTGTGATCTTCCCCATTCATATTTTTCTCGTCACTTTGAGGGATGTGCGGAAGTTGTGCAGGTAGCCTAGCATCTCTTATCTTTCCAGTTAATAACATTTCTGATAGGTTATATAATTCATTTTCCTGCATAAAGGATTTAATGCTGCATATTTTTTTTTCATATTCATCCATGGAGTGATATAATTGCTGTAAAAATTGGTCCTTCTCTTCGTTCTGCCTTTTATGCCCCCTTACATGTTCGTCACGGTGTTGTGTATCCTCCCCCGTGGGCTTATTGCCCATTTTTCCTTCCGTCTTTGAGATTTTCTGCAGATAGTGAATATTTAATTCTACGTTTATTTTATTTTTTAAAAATAAATCCAAGTTGTTAAAAAGTTGCACCAGTGCGCTATTTACATCGTTGTAGAAGCTCTTTGCCAAGTCAATTTTTTGTTGCATAGAATTTATCTCTTGATTTTTTCCCAAAACTAAATTTATAATTTCCTCCTTTTCTTTTTCAATTATGTCACTATTTTGGCTGATTATTTCGTTGGCAGTCTTTATATATTTATTTAACTGATTTTTCTTTTCCTCACAGGACAGCACCAGTTCGCTTAAAATGATGTCGATTTTTTCCTTTTCATTTAAAGTTTTTTCCTCCTTGCTGCTGTGCTGCTCGGTGACTATGCCATCAATTTCATTTTCTTTGTCGAGAATTTTTTCAAAGTCATCCTTCATAAAATTGAGGATGTTTATCTTGTCTTCCAGCGCGGCTAGGTTTATGGGGGGTTTCGTTTTTTTTTTGTTCTTTTGGTTCATTTTGGCAGCTCCTGAGGGTGTGCTTATGTGGGAGAGGTTGGCTTACCTTGTAATCAACCTGCGCAAAGGATCTGCTTCAGCGTCACGTTGGGATACCTACGTGCGCCTCTTCCCATGTATGCCCCTTCGCTACAGACACGCGCAACGGTAGCGACAACACCTGCGAATACTTTTTAAGTAAACCCCCCTTTTTACCCTTTACTCAGAATTTCAGTTGTAACTTACTGCGCCCTTGTTGTAAAATTATGTGTCTCTTCTGTTATAACTTGTAATTTTAGTCTTTTAAAATGCGTGATAAAGTGGGCCCAAAGATATGACTGTTTGCCAAAGCGGGAGCATAAACAGAGATGCACAGAGGACGACACTTGCGAATATTTTTCTACCATTATGATAAAAACGTTTAGCATATATGCGCACTATTCACGCGATGGTTATTTTTTTTTTCCACGTTTTCGTTGCATATTGGGAGTACTGCGAAAGGTTTTCTGGGTTTGATGGGTTGTCTAACGTTCCTAATGTGCCTAACGTGCCTTATGAGCGTCCTACGCTTAGTTTAGCTGCATGTGAACCTAATTATACTAACAGAATGATGTTACTAGGACCCCCTACAAAGGAAGAACTAAGTTGAGACCGACTAAATGTCCCCAACCTGATTTTGTAATACATGGCCCTACAGTGCTTGTAAGGCCAAAAGAACCGCAGGAAAACAATTCAGGCTTTAAAACAAGAACTCCCTATTTTGCTAACCAGAAAATGAATATTATTTTGCCTTTCTATAGCTATCGCGATTGGGGTCTTTCATGATATGTATCCCACACGAAAGCACGTGAAAAATACACACGTACAACGTAAAAAATAGGACAGGATGAGAAAAAAAAAAAAAAAACCTTTTCCTTCTAGATGGCGCTGTTTCGTGGACACTATAGCATTTTATCCCTTCCTTTTTGAGGATGCCCTCAATTGACTTCTAACAAAGGCGTGCACATTCGTTTCGAAATGTTTCTCTATTGGACCATAATGTCATACACGTCGCGCAATATACACAGCTATAGGTGCCATGCTAATTACAAAAAAAGGGGACACATCCTCTGCGCGAAAATATGAACACGTTATTTTTTTCTCTAATTTTAAAAGAAAAAAAAAAAATTTCAATCATGCCAGTAAAATTACATAGTGCACAGAATTGTGAAAAGAAGGAAAAGAAGATCTAGGTTTTGCAATTTTTTATGAGTCCCTGCTTGGCGCGAAGAAAAAAAAACATACGCGCCAATTCTCCTTCCCATTTGCATGTAAACGCGTGTACCCTCCTTACGAATATATATTATACAAAGCCAGAGAGTATACATGCATACACCGGCGCAGAACGCACAATACAAGTTTGTGCGCATACTTCACGCTTAACACGTGCATACGATCTGAGGTCGGTTTCTTATGCGACGAGAAACACGTAAACGGGATGCCACAATTCTGATGAAACACCCACCTAACCTTCCCCAGTGAAAATTAAAAAAATTCTCAAAAATCGGAAGAAAAAGAATGAGCAAAAGAAAATAAAAATATCACAAAAATGTAAATTTCAATCGCAATTGCTAGCAGACCAATTCAGGAGAGTGTAACCGAAGAAGCGACAAACCTGGAAAACGATGAAATAATTATTCAAGCTCCTGCAGAGGAAAGTTCAAACTTAAAAGAGTATCCAGTTTAAAAGGGAAAAATTAAGGCTTTTGTTTTTGTGCAATCATGCCAGAAAGGGGGAGGAAATAAACCAGGGAGAAGCAGCGAAAGCTAATTGTAACGAAGGGGGGGAAACCAAATTAGGGAGAGTGAAACGGAGAAGCCATATTGGGGATAGCCTAAGTGGAAATTCAAGAACAAAGGCCAAAAAAATAAAAAAATGACCAAATGATCGCGTAACTGAGTGACCGTGTAACCCAGTAACTGCGTAGCCGAGTGACCGCCCAACCGAGTGACCACCTAACCGAGCAACCTGATGACAAATAATACCCAGTCGAACCGAGCCAACGCCGCCCCAAGCAGCAGCAGCACGTCTCAGTGCGCACGAAAATGATGAAAATGCTGCTGTATGACACCATCAGGGGTGAGCTGAAAGCGGAAGGTAAAGACAAAGCACTGGACAAAAACGAGATCAATGAAAATATAAAAAAATACGACCGGCATAAGCTGAGAGCCATACTCAGGAAATACATTCGACACAGCAATAGACTGCTAAACTACCACAAATACAAAGAAGTAATAGACAATTTTGAGCCATTTAAAAATGTATTTATCATATACAGCAATAGCTTCTTAAATAAGAATAAAATTTTTAATTACACCTTTAGGTATTCCAAAATTATAAAAATCCTATACCTAAATAAAAAGGGGAAAAGACTTATATATGGGGACAATAATTACTTGAAAGAAAACACCCTTACGAGAAATAAAAAAGGAAGGAGCAGTGAAAGAATAGGATTACTACTGGACGATAACAAATTCGCGAATGAAGATAATTCCAATGAAGAAAAAATATATCAAATCATTAACTTTTTCTATACCTTAAAAAAAAGTGATTATGATAAATTGGACAAAGTCATTGAAAAAAGTCAGATAGCCCTGCCCTCATTCAGCTACTTCGATATTTATCTATTTAGCAATAACAAAAAATTAAAATATGAAATTAACAAGAAGAACATAAAATACATTGACATCAGTTCTGTCCTGTATTACCTGTACATCCCAGTAATCATTTCGTACATCCATTTAAAAGACTTCCAAAATGCCAAGATTAAATTCTTTGAGTATATTTATCTGAAGAGAAAGTTTAGACAAATTAATAAATATTGCTCTGAAAGCGAAAAAAGGAAATTGAGAATTACCACCCTAATTTCATCGCAGCTGAAAAATAAGATATATAATTATTACGACACCCTTCTATATGAGAAGAAGCCGTCGTCCATCTTTTTTAAGCGAAGTGACGAGATGGGACAAAAGGGGGCTCATAAAAAGAAAGAAAATAAAGATAGTATAGAGCTACCAAGTAACGGAATCAGTACCAAAATTAAGAACAAATTTATATTGACGGGAAGGAAGAGCAAACAAGATGACGCCTTCAAGGAGCGCACAAGGGGTAGTACCACCATTTCAATTAGGAAGAGCAAAAGGAATAATTCCTCTTTGCGTGGAAGTGATTGGCCCGCTGCTTGTGGTAGTTTGCCCGTGGAGGCCTCAAATGGGTTGACTAAACCCAAGGGAGGGGAAATATGTCCCCCCTCAGTGAAAGATGACACAGAGGCGGATGTTATTAAGGAGGGTACAAACAGAATTGATTCCAATGAGCACAATAGGAGTGGGGCTAGTGGGCAACACACACCACGGGGAGATACCCACACAGGTGCTGCCGTGACGAAGGAGGAGGACCCTTACGCCAAGAAACGAAGTATGCACCTACACCACACATGCAAAAGACAAAATTATACATATCAAGAAAGAAAGAAAAACATAAAAAGAAAAAAAAAAAAAAAAACAACGAATACATAACCATAGATGAATATTTGTTATTCTTAAAAATAAAACACAAAGAGACATCCCTAGATGGACTAACCGATGTCGTAAGGAATATCCCCCTAGAAGATAAAATATGCAGAATAAAGAGACTAAGAAATATAATGAATATTGAATACAATGAAAAAAAAAATATATATAGAAAGGAAAAGATCCTGAAGAATCTGATCCAATTTAAGGATAAGAAATACTACTTTTACAACTACTTTTTTGACGTCTTGATTTATTTTTCGTACTTTAAACAGATAAACATTGTGGAGGGCATACTGCTGATGGCACTCCTGTACAGCAAGCTCAACTTTTTCAGCATTTCGACTTACATATATAAGAATGTGTACCTCTATTTTTATTATATCTTCGAGAGCTACCAGAGAAAGTGGAAGTCCTTTGATTTAAATCACGAGATGAATAAGCTGAATTCGTTTAATGTGAAGGGGAAAGAGAATACCGACGCTTCGTATGCAAAGCATCACAAAGATTTGAAGGACGAAAGGGCGAAAAAGAAAAAAGGAAAAAAGGATAAGAAAAAGAAGAAGAAAAAAAAAAAAATGAATACCATGGCGATTTCGACGTCTGACGTGGGGACCATAGAGAGCGACAAGCGGGAAACTATTAAGGGGGGTGATTTTTTCCCCACTCCGACTGGAGAATTGCATCGTAGCAGAGGCCTCGAGGGCATCACCAGCGTGTGTAGGGGGAGTAAGGACATCGCGGTGGGAAGCGGCGCGGTGGATGCGGTGCGGGAAGGCGGAAAGGAAAGCATAAAGATGAACAAATCGAAAAGGGAAGCAAAAAAGGAAACGAAAAGTGAAGCGAAAAGTGATGCGAAAAGTGAAGTGAAAAACCACAATAAGGACAACCACAATGATGATAAAAACGACGATAAGGACAACCTCGACCAGGACGAGCATGACAGCTATGGCACGTGCAGCATGTACGACGAGCTCGTGGTGCACACATTTAACCACTTCCAGAGGCAGCTGCGAAATAACAGCAACTTTTACTTCGTGGCGGACTGGCAGGAGCAGAAGCCGCACTTCATGTATCGCAATTATGCCTTCCTAAATAACTCGTTTAACTCCCCCCACCTGAATTACCTCGACGACATCGTCGTAGGGAATATCATAAAGAATGCGATCTGCTTTAACTACAAGTACATTTTCAACGGAATCAAAAGGCACATTTTAATTTACCTTAATTTAATAAGTCACGTAGAAACAAAATATATTTTTCATAAAAATAATTATAACTTAAAGAATCTGATTTACCATCTTTACATGGACAAAATCCTCAAGTCCTATGACACTAACCTCTTCACGTATGAGAAGAACTTCTATGTACTGAAGAGAATCATTTTTTTGGACAATGGTGTCAATTTATTTCACCCTAGTGAGAATTATTTAACGAATGACTATTGCTTAAAGTCGATATTTTTTAAAATATATTTTAATCTTTATAAAAATACTTCTCTAAAGGTCCGGAGAAGGAATGCACGGGATAAGCTAGCCGATGATAACAGTTGCATGCGCGCGGAGCTAATTCACCAATACAGGATTAACGTATGGAGCGAAAATGGGAAAGACAGCATCCTGCATTCGTTGATCAATTTGGAGGAGCAGAAGATGCAGTTAGGGGGCTATCCTGTATGTCCTCATAATAGAACTGCGCCGCAGTACCAGTTAGCAAAACAGAAAAACGAGGGAGATGCAGCAGTGAACGGGAACTTCGTTGGGGAGTATCTTCATCTGAGCGACAACTCCCCTAGTGGAAGTTCCCGAATTTTTAATTTCACGATGGGTACGAGCGAGCAGTTCAGAAACCATATGCTTAGTAGCTACCTAACGGACCAATGCAGTCACGTGGAGATGAAGGGGCACAAAACAGAAAACGTATACCAAGAGTTTAACAACTTTGCAGATTGTGAGAATAATAATGTCAAGGAGGGTGAACGTACACCCTTTCTCCATTTCAGAGACCCCATGCGAGTGGATAACTGCCCATATAGCCACACCATCTCGTCGCTTGAACTTCTTAGGGATAATAAGAGGTACAACTCAGATATTCCTTTGAATAAGTCGGGACCCATTATAAAAAGTGTAACCTTGGTAGATAACCTGAACAGTCCGTCTTCCATCAACGTCGGGGCGAAAAGCGACTGGCAATTTGATGATATGTATAGCGGCAACTCGAAAAAAAGGAACTTCACATCTGGTGATGAAGCGGACAGGAAAAAGAAAGTGGCTACCCCAAACAGGGACAGAAAAAACGACAAATTTATTGAAACAATTTTTAAGAAAAATATTAAAAAAAATCTCTTTGGAATAAACAGAAGTTTGAATGAATCTCATGATTATGCTGATGATGAGGAAGAGGATGGGAAGGACAATTTGAAAAACTATTCGCTCAGAAATTTTTTCAACTTCCCCAATAACGAATTGAAAATATTGATTTATAATTTTCTCTACCTCTACATCTTTGACGAATATATTTACATGAACATGCATAAGAAGGACATAAGTGAGTACTTCAATTTTTTAAATGTGTTGAAGAAGAAGCAGAAACTGAGGTACAATTTTTGCAATTTCCTATGGCATTCGAATAAAGACATTGGCAACGAAATATCATGCTACAAAAAGTATCTAAAGGAGAGATACCTAAATAAAAATAAAAAAAAAGATAATAACAAAATGATGTACAACTCTATGTTTGGAGAACAAACTACCATCCAGGTGAACATGAAAAAAGATATGAATGATAAGTGCAAGACGAAAAGTGCCAAGAAGTTGTCTAAAAAAGGGGAAGAGTATAAAATGGTTAGAGAGCATAAGAAAGAGGAGAACCTCCATCCAATGGCTTCAATTATCCTAATAAACAATAAAAAAGAAAAATACAATTCAAAAGCCATAAATTTGTTGAGAGATACGTATAAGAAAAATTTCATTAATTATCACATCAAAATTAATGTAGAAAAATATGAACACATTTATTTCCTCTTCATAATAACGGAAATGTTGTCTATTATTTTTTTGCCATTCATCAATTCGCACTATTACTTTGCCTACATAAAAGGGTATAAACATCTGGGGGAGGGTAAGTTCACCCCGATTGAGAGGTTTAGGCAGGAAAATATACACCTCTTGTGTGAGCGCACTAGTGCTGATGGCGCCAGTGTCGATGATGTGAGCGGAGATAACGCAACCATCGCAGATGGTGCTGAAGGGAATTACAAAAGGAAAAGTACAAAACAAAGTCGTATAAACACGCAAAATCAAGGGGACAAGCGGAACAGGTTGATCAAAAGTAGAAAGCAGGACATATCCACGAGCATTTACAACCTTTTCCAACTAAACAAGACCAACTTGTTCAACTTTTCAAATAAAGAAAAAAAAGAAAAATCTTCCGATTCTGAAGAAACCAAGAGTAGGAAGATTCTCTATCGAAAAAATACCCTAAGTAATATCAAAAATGAAACGGCATACATACAGAAATATTCCCTGTTCAATGAGAGGAAGGAAAAATGGAATGACGTGCTGTATAGCAAAACGTACACTACCGAGCTGAAGAGAAGGAAAAGCACGAAATATCCCCACCAGTTGGATGATGGAAACTACTATATTGCGCTTTACAACTCGAAAGTAGTAGAACAAATTAGGAGAAGCAAAAAAAGGATAACTTTCGAGGCAAAGAATCTTATTGAAAATGTCTTCCTCTACAATGAATATTACCGAATTGATACCTACGAATTAAATAAAAAATTTCATAGTAAGGACAAATATTTCCTCATAAAAAAGTATGAAAAAATTGTAGCTCTTGCTTTTTACACTCGCTTTAATTCCTATTTGATATTTTCCCTGTATCAACGAATAGCACTCCTGAATTTTCTATACTCGAATTACCATTTGGTCATTTCAATTCTGAGATATATTAACCATGTGCATTGTAAGCTCATAAACCAGCATGCTCGGAGGCATTTTTTTCTTATGAAGAAATCTCCAGCAATGTGTGAAAAATCAGTTGGTCCTTCTCACCAAGGGGATAAAGTACATACGGAATTTCCAGAAATGGGGAAGAGTACCTTTTTCGCAGATCAGTCTGAAAAGTGTGTCCCCTACGATCACTCCTTCTTCTACATGAAAGATGAAGACATTCATTACAATGATTACATAATCAACACATACAGCACGAACTATATTAATGATATGAATGCCGCAAAGGGTAGACAGGATTCCCCGTCCTCTATAATCAAGTTTTATGACAAACTAGGGGATATAAAATCCTTCCGATTTTCCATTTTCTTCGACATATTTTTTGAGCTAAAGGTAAATTTTAACCACCTCAGCAGCGCGTATATATGTGTGCAGAATTCGTTAAGGTACCTCTTCTTCTTTTTGAAAAATGCACACAAGTGTAATGTCGTCTTGGATTTGCGGCACAGCAGGGAAAGACAGGCCACGCTACGGGGGACAGCTAACGAAGTGACCAGTGTGTCTGACGAGAGAGACAATAACATGGCGAAGCCGTGGAGTGGTACACACAGGAGTAAGAATAAACATTCGTGTGACGCCCCCCAGGTGGATTCCCAACACAGAAGAGTAAAAAGTGAAACAAATTTACACTTCCAAAGTGGGAACACCCCCCATGGCGGAAACAAAACACTGGATGAGTGGAATCGAAAATGTGGAGAGTCATTTGACGATACAAGCCGTTTTGCACCATCGGGTCAAAATTACCCATCGATGGAGAATAGCACAAATCGTGATGGAAAAGACATCTCGCATAATGTTAACGAGGAAAATTGTTACACTGAAAATGATTCCCATTCGAATTGGCTTGATGAAATAGGAAAAGAACCCAATTGCGAGGAGAAAGGCACAAACGAAGAGAGCGCATTAACCACCTCGGAGGGTGAAGAATGGCCTAAGTTTATCCCCAATATGGACATAAACAAACTGAGAAGTAGTAGACTTTTCTACATTATAGGCATCTCCCTACTGAAGCAGCTGAACAGTAACTACTACTATGACAACATGAAAGAAATAAACCTCATTTATGAGGACGATTTGGTTGAAAAAAAAATAAATGTAAATAATTTGCTAAAAAATGATTATTCAGATGTGCTTAACTTGAGTTACAAGTACATGAGAAAAAGCATCAGCGTGGATCCCCACCATCTGTTGAGTTATTACTACCTTGGCGTTATTTATCTCTACAAGTTAAAAGTTACCAAGTGTATTTATATATGTAAAAATTTTCTATTACAAAACTGTCATAATGTGTACGCCTTCTCATTTTTTCTGCTATATATAGTAGTTACCAGTTCGAGGTATACCCCAAGGAAGGTACTTTCTACACATGGGCGGAACAAGTGCGGAAAGGCTGATACACATAAAAGTTATTCGATGCAGACTCCACGTGGAAAAAATAAAGGTGATGGTAGCGAACATGACGCACTCATTAACCATGCAAACATTTTGCACAGCTACAATGAACAGTATAAAGGGTTAATTAACCAATTAAGGCGAAATGCCCCCGACTTTTATAACGCTATTATGAGTACGAACAACCTCTTTGATGCAGATGATGAGAAAAAGGCAGGCGCAGGAGGAGGAACCTATATGGACGACTTTTGCAACCTTGGGAATTTTATAAACTGCAACGATTCGGGCGGTAAGAGGCCCGTTAACTGCGTGAAGGAAAATCCAAGTGATGTCCCATACGAAGTGAAGTCTAATGGGAAAAGTGACGATCCAAGTGGCAGCCATGATATGAACAAAACAGAACATGGTGAGCCCCCGTTTGGTCCTAAACTGGAGAAGGTGAATATCACTAATGGAAGAACCCCCCCAACGGGGAGAAGCGCGTATGATAAGCTGAGTACACACTGTACAGGAGGAAGACGAAGAGGAAGCACAAGAGGAAGAAAAAGAACAAGTACCCCATACTGTCTTTACAACGGTGAGGGACTCCAAACCAAATCGCCTAACAACGAATGTTTTTTAATCCTTACGAAAGCTATAAACTACTTCCCAAACAACTTTTTTTTTTTTTACCTCTATGTATATTACTTAATTAATTTCTTCGTAATATATGATATTTTATTTTACTGGGAGAAGAAAACACAAGACAAGAAGAATAAAAAGAGGACCTTCCCAAGTTCCAAGGTGAAACATTTGCTTCTGCAGAAAGCTTCACAAACGTGTAACATCAAATCAAGCCCAAGTGAAATCCCCCGCCCTACGGACCATTTCAATTTTTTACGTGAAGAAAAAAAGGCAGATGCCCATCTTAGCCAACTGTACGACGCAATATTCGACACGGACGAGATGGACAACGGAGATAGTGACGATAATAATTACACTGATGAAAGTGCCAGAAATCGCGATTCCTGGGGAGGACCCAAATTAACTCGCTTTTTTCCCAACGTCCCATTTAATCTTAACAAGTGTACCAACCTAGCCAAGGGGAAGAACGAAGGGAATAGAGTTTTAACCAATAGCATTAAAGAAGAAATTGACAGAATTCAGATTTCGCTGAAGATTTTGCAAAAGAAGAGCAATGCGATGAGGATTGAGTCCAGAATGGAGGGTAAAGCTAACAAGGTTGGTGCTTCGGGGATGGATGCAACTTCGACTGTGACGAAAAGTCCTTCTGGTGACGGGTCACACACTGTCGCAACACATGTTGGCAGTGCGGCTGATGATGAAAAGTGCGGAGAATATCGTCACGCCGATATCGCACATCCAGCGGGGAAGAACCAACCCGGGGATGCAAATGTCAGCCAAAAGAATAAGCAAAACGAAGGCGTAAACACCGAGGAGAGAAACGCAAGGTTCATGGAGCCCCCATCCGTATATGATACGTGCCCAAATGAACTAAAAAGTAACATAAAAAGAAGCGACTACATTGACATCAGCAAAGTGAACTTGTTACCCTGCGTTATGCCCATACTGTTAGTATTGTACAAATACATCCTTCAGAAAATGCAGGAAAAAAAAAACTCCGATATGTATGTATATTTCTGTTTGAACAAAATTATGTCTCATGTTGATCTGAGTAAGATTAAGTGTGAATTGCATGCAGAGAGCGACAGAGGCTACCATCCAGATGGTGGGATTAACAATTGCAATTGTTTCTTTAGCTACGCGAAGGGGAGTGACAAATTATACAGCAAGAATTATTACTTTTCGGAGAGAAATAGATGCGGCGTGGTTAGCGGAAGTGGTATGCTTGGTGGAAGCTACATGGTCACTAGAAGCCGCCTGGATGGCAGAAGCGGTAACAAATTTGGAACTCTCAACTCGCGGAACAGCATGAGCAATCTCAGAAATGGCACTCCCCAAACTACTGGCACACCCAAGGGCATGCGGAAAATTAGCCTGAAAAATGTATACCTGGAAGCCATCACCTGGATCAGTATGGGTGAAATTCTGATATACCTGAGGGTAAATGCCAAGCTTATTGCCTACCTTCTCAACATTATAGACACGTACATAAAATTTTATCTAAGTGTAAATAATGACAATAACTATTACAGCTACGAAAATACAAGTTTCTTTTACAATTTGACACACCAGTTTATGTGCCTGAAATGCTTGTACTTGTTTTATCTCTATGCCAAGTGCAAAAGGAGGAAAAGATATTCAGACATTCTTCTCCTGAGCAGAAAAGGAAGCAGCAGTATATGTCGCCTGCCATCAATGGCAATGTCCCCCTTTGGAGAAGCGGTAGAGAAAAGGAAGGACAATGGAAAGTGGAAATCATCATTGCCCTTTAAAAAGAATTTATATACAAAAATACTCTTTTTCGAAAACGAATACGAATTGCACAATGCTAGAATGAACTTGTGCGACCACCCTAAAGTTAAAGTCGAGAATGAGCACATCTACTTCAGTGATCGATTTGGTGAGAATGATTTTAAGTTGCCTTTTCATACAAGAGATAAGAAAGAATTGCGTGGGAAATTCTGGCCTCTGAGGAGGAAGGCCGAAAAGGGGGGCACTGATAAGGGAGAAAACAAGGAATCCCCCCAAAGGAATGCACCAAAAGAGAACGCGAGCAATGGAGGGAAATGTTATTCGAACGACAAAGCAGACACAAATAACAAAGTGCATAAAATGAACAGAATGAACAAAAAGAGGATGAATAAGATTTACGCCGATGAGGAGAAACTGATCAGCTCGTTTTTTGTGGACTATGAGAGTGCCCAGAAAAGACAGAAAAAATATCGACTCGTAAAAAACATTAAAATTTACGTATCCCTAATAAGTAAAATTTATTTCAACGATAGAAAGGTTAACATTTTATATGCTCGATATTATTTTTTAAAAAAAAAGTACCTAAAAGTTATCAGCATCTTGTCTCTTCTGAATGAGCACTACAAGAAAAGGGACTACTTCATTATGAAGAAGAAAAGGTCACATGAGGATAGTGGCTCAGGGAATAATATGAACATCTCGAGTGAACAAAGTACCTTACCAAGTGGCTACCCCTTTCACTTAAATAATCAAACTGATTTCGTCTACGAATATTTAAATATATACATGTATTATCAGTCCTTTGAGAAGTTACAAAATTACCGCAAGTCGAATTATTACAAGCATATTTTGAAAGTCATTTTTTTAAGCTGCCCCATCATACCGTTTGGTTTGTTTCCATTTATAAATTTATGAGCCGCGCTCGGGTGACCCACCGATTTTTCCCTCACACCATGCGAGTGTGGCAGGCAAAACATCATAAGAAACTTGACCACACGTAGATGACGAAATATTGAAGCACCTTTGTAAGCGCTGCCTCGAAATATAACGTGTTCCGCGTGCCGCAGCATAGAGATACCCTTGGTGGGAGATGCCCTTTTTTGTAAGACCCCTTCATGTTTTACGTTGGTATGTCATCATTTCCCCCCACGTTGCTTTTGGCAATTCTACATTCCTTCTCCTTTGCCATGTGTTTATTTTTCCATGTTTCATTTTGCATCGTTTTGTACAATTTCGTTTTAATTTTTTTTTTTGTCAATTTGTTTCGTCTTGAGTAATTTCTCTATACACCAAAAAGTAACATAATCGTAGCACAGGTTAGGCATGCATACATTGTGTGCATATTCTTCCCAGCACCTGTCTTTTTGCAATCGATTTCGCCTCCCCCCCTTAGTTGGCACACTCCGTACTACATAAATATATAGCCACGTGGATTCGTTCATGTCGGCCGCTTCTTTTTTAGCAGTTTTAATGTTATTTCGTTTTGTTTCGCTTCGACCTGTTATTCTTTTTTTTTTCTTCTTTCTTTGTTTGGTAACAAAAGCGTAAATTTGACCTGTATGTAGAAAATCCGGGGAAGCTGCAAAAATACAGTTGCATTTCCCTCAATTTTATTTTATTAAATTTTATGTCACAATTTTTTTTTTTGTAGCCTTTTAAAGATTGTTTTTTTTTTTTCACTTCTCATAAAAATGATGTGCACTAATTACATCATTCAACAAAACGACATCTTCGCTTTTGCCTCGTTAGGGCAGTACCCATGTAAAATTGAAAAAAAGAAAAAACGAAAAGATTAAACTGGGGAGGACTCATCCTTTATTTTTACGCTGCACATGGAGTGGAGACCTCCCAGAGTTTTGTAACGCTTAAATGTACAGCCGTGTGGTGGCGCCATGGTGGGGATATGCCGGTGCGGCGGTGATGACGTTCACTGGATTTGACCTTTTATTTTCCACGTCTCGTGGAGGACGGGACGGGAACATGAATATTGGGCACATGCGTATTGATATGTGGGCAAATATATGTTTGCTAAAATGGGCACGAGCATATGTGCGTTGACATGGGCACTAATCTGCGCATTTCAAAGTACGTCGACATGCAGATTGATCTGAACGTTGGACATCCTCCTTGGGGAATGCACGCTGAAATGCATGTGAAGATGCCAGTTTGACGTGCTTGTCATTCTACATGCTTACTTGCATACGGATATGCAGCCTTACGTGCACGTAGGCATGTCTGCATGTTCGATGGTGAGTTGCCCCTTTTTGGAGCGACAGATCACCGGGCGATTTCTACCTCGCCATTTGCACAAGAGATCATTTTCCTTCCCCTCTCTCTCCAAAAGTGGCAAGTCGGAACAGGTACGACGCGCTCCTCGTTTTTGTCAAGTTCGTCTTCGACATGCCTTCTTTTTCTTTTACGTATCTGTTAGCGTCCCGACACTTGTAGCGCCACTACATTCTTACGGGGGGAGGGGCGAAGGAGCCTCGATATTAATCCTATTTTATATATAAAGAGAGAATTTTCAGCACTATATATATATAAATATAGGTTATATATATAATATATATTTTTTTTTCTTTAAGCTCTGCGCAGGTGTTGTTTTTCATCTTTCTTTTCGCAAATAGCGTTTAATTGAAACTTTTTAATTTTTCCCGTTCGTTTTCGTCATTATCTTTGTTTCCATTTTTGTTTCATTTTTATATCTTTTCATTTCTTTTACTCTCCTTTGATTTTTTTTCCCTTCATTTCTTTTCCTTTCTTTTCTTTTCATTTCATTTTTACTTCTTTCTTACAACAAAAGGCTGTAACATAAAACTTAATTCCAGCCATAACGACAATCGCTAGTGAATGCAACTTTCGATGAGGAACATACGCCTTCCCAATTTGCTGTGGTTATACCAAACATACGACAACTTCCGTGGCATCAGTGACACTGTTCCTATGTTTTTTCTTTTTTTTTTTCTAAAGAAGAATAACGTTACATAATCAAGTGAGAGTGTTCGTTTGAGTTGCACTCATCTGTATGCCATTCTTTTTCACTCCACGCATGCCCATCCCCTTTTCTATTATTGACCAGCCTTTATGTACCAATACGATAGCGTCCCGTGTGTCTTGTCCTGTGCTGCGTCGGATTATTTGATAAAAGCGGCCAAGTGGGAGTGTCAACTGGAGTGATTGACTGCGTGGTTGTCTGCATGGTCGGTGGTGAAGCACAAGTGTACGCATTGCCTGTATTGTATGCATCGCCCATAGGGTATTCTTCTCTTCCCTATGCTGCAGTGGCTTATACGTATACCGTAGGTTCCTTCCTTTCCAGAGCCCGTTAAATCCGCTTACCCATGCTTACCCCCGTTTACCCCGGCTTCCCCCCAGCGTAACCCACTTTTTCTAATTTCTCACCGTGCGGGGCAAAATGGCTCAGGATCTCAGAATGATCACCCTGACTAGATCTAGCCTGGAGGCCCTGAACAGAAACCAGATGCTCTCCAAAAAGAGCAATAGGAGAATTTTGAAGATATGCATATACACAATTCTGGCATTTGTGATGTCCGGTGTAGTGTTCATATGCCTCACTGCCATATGGAGCAATGATGGAAACCTTCCCCAGAGCGACAAGCTCAAAGGCCCCTCTTTCACCCCTGGTGGTGGAGATATCCTCACCAAGGCTGAAATAGAAACCCTGAAAATTATTTTTTCAAATTACCCCCAAGGGGACAAAGAATTCGCTGGAGATCAAGTGGAAACGTTAGCAGATGCCGCCATATCTAATGAAGCGGATCAAAAGATAAAAATTGCAGACACGGGCAAGCACATCAAATTGATGAAAAAGTATAACGAAATTTTCGCGGACATGAGTGAGGAGAACAAAGAAGAGTTAGCAAAAATGTTGAGGGAACTTTTGAAAAAAAAAATGAATGAGAAGAAACAAAAAAATAAAGACCCAAATGGTAATTGTGAAGAAGGGAAAGAAGTTATCAATATGAGCTTGTCCAATTTTAATTACAAGAGAGTCAGCGCCAACCAAGATAATAATGACGACGAGGAAGAAGTGAGTGTGCCGCAAATCGAAGGTCTATTCTTCAACCTGAAATACGCGTCGAAATTTTTTGACTTCATGAAGAAGTATAACAGAAGCTATAAAGACATCAATGAGCAGATGGAGAAATATAAAAATTTCAAAATGAACTATCTCAAAGTTAAGAAGCACAACGAAACAAACCAAATGTACAAAATGAGGTTAAACCAGTTTAGCGACTATTCGAAGAAAGATTTCGAGAGTTATTTTAAAAAATTGCTGCCCATCCCGGATCACTTGAAGAAGAAATATGTAGTTCCGTTCGCTTCCTTGAAGAACGGAAAAGGTAATAAAGTGGCTAGCAATAAGAATGCTGACCTTTTTACCGACATGCCAGAAATTTTGGACTATAGAGAAAAAGGAATTGTACATGAACCCAAGGATCAAGGATTGTGTGGCTCCTGCTGGGCATTCGCCAGTGTAGGAAATGTTGAATGTATGTATGCCATGGAACATAACAAAACCATTTTAACTCTGAGCGAACAAGAAGTGGTCGATTGTTCGAAATTAAATTTCGGATGTGATGGCGGACACCCATTTTATTCATTCATATATGCCATCGAAAATGGAATATGCTTAGAGGACGACTATAAATACAGAGCTGTGGATAATTTATTTTGCCTAAGTTATAGGTGTAAGAACAAAGTCACCCTCTCCTCTGTTGGTGGGGTGAAAGAAAACGAATTGATACTTGCATTAAATGAAGTAGGTCCAGTATCTGTCAATGTCGGTGTAACGGATGATTTCTCCTTTTACGATGGAGGAATATTCAATGGCACATGTACGGAAGAATTAAACCACGCCGTTCTTCTTGTCGGTTATGGCCAAGTGCGGAGCAGCAAAATCTTACAACAAAATAATGTTTATGATAATAATACCACTGGAGTTATGAAAAAGGGAGAGACTTCCTCGCCATCAAAGGGCGATGACGGTATTCAGTACTACTGGATTATCAAAAATTCTTGGGGTAAATATTGGGGAGAAAACGGATTCATGAGAATTAGTCGAAACAGAGAGGGAGACAATGTGTTTTGTGGAATCGGTGTGGAGGTTTTCTACCCCATTTTGTAAGCCCCGCCCCCTTCGAGTCCAGCGTGGCAAGCCCGTCGCCCAGCTCCTTGGGAAAGAAGTGGCGTCTTTTGTGTTGGCGTAGCAGGGACGCGCTCTATTTTTATGGTAGACTAGGCGAGCGCCTGCTTTTCGGTAGACGGTGCCACTCGCCTTTTTCCGAACTGAAGCATTTCTCTGCACGAAGAGTGCCCAATTTTACCCCAGCGATGTTGCTAATCGTACCTTAGCCCGACTAACGTTTTCAAATTGTACGTACGTGAAATTACGACACCGAGTGTGTAACCCAGTAAAAATGCTAAGCAATGTATTGTGGTGAGTGACGTACCCCATTGTATATTCCATTTTTATTTTCTTCTTTTTTGTACTATTGTACGATTTGATTCCTATACCATATGTAGTCCTTACCCTTTGATGTTGTAACGTATGTAACTTAATTATTTTGTTAAAAAATTTTTTTTTTTTTTTTTTTTTTTTTTTGAATCTGCAAGAATTAGCAATTTAGCACGCCTTTTCTCTTAATATGTAACTTTAAGGTTTAAGAAAAAAAAACCTAGCATCCCAGTTTTTTCTGCCGTTTTAAGCAGTTTGAAACGGCTTGCTTTCTTCTCACCATGCAAAATGTGATGACGAAGAAAAGGGGAGGGGTGGGGCATCCAGCTCACTATTTGTGCTGAGTCTTCCAGGAAGATGCGAAAATAACAGACAAAAAAAGGCATAACAATGCAGACAAAGCTGTAATATCTTTTGGGGTCTCCCACCCCAGAGGGCTCAAGAAGGGGAGGCGCCCCTCATTTACAGTTCCAGTTTATCCTCTTCAACATACTCGAGATGGCAAAGGAGATAAAGGGTCATACTTGTTCATACACATGATGAGCTGGTCATCTCTGTGCAAAATGTTGACTAAAGGTTGACCCTCTTGAGGTTTTTTTTTTTCTCAACCTCTTCCTATTTTGGGGACGTTTCAAACGGGTTTCATGCCGCTTGGGTATCACAGGCAAGGGGGAAATTACATTATATGGAATTGCCTCAAAAGGGAGTGCAAATGGGAACAGAAAAAAAAAAAAAAAAAACACACATAATGTGGTAACGCAAATATCACATGAAATTTTATGGTAAAATGTAATGAGAAATGGAATGGCAAAACAAAATGTTAAATAACCCAGCGGCGAATAGCTCGTACGGCGCTCCTACGGATACCAAAGCAAAGCTGCTCTCAAAAAAAAAGGCCATTCATTTGTTCCCTTATTTTATAGAACTCTTTTCTTTTTTCCTTCTTTTCTACTTCCTTCAAATGGATTCACCACCTCATAAAATTGCCCCTTCGAATAAGTTACAACAAGGAGATAAAAGCACATCCACGGAGGAACAAAAGATCCAAAGTGCAGCCAGGTCCCTACAAAACTAACGTGCAGATCGAATTCACCTCCACCGCCCACAGAGATTATGAAAAAACGTTCGGGGAAATATATGCTACTTTCATCTTGCCTTTTAAGCGTTGGAATTTACTACTACGTAAAGACGACAAAATATTCGGATTACAGGAGGAGGTACGAGGGCGTATTAAAAGATATAGAAAGACAAAAGGCCAAATTTGAAAAATGGAAAGCCGATAATTTGTAGGCCAACAGGGGGGGAGCGAAGCCGAAGTGAGAAAAAGAAGGAAAAGAAAAAAAAAAAAACGAATTGGGAATAATTCCTCCCATCAACTTTACCACAAACGTTTCGCTTTTCTTCGGGGAAAAGAAGAAGCTACACATTTCTGGAGGGGTATTTTCCCCCCTGCAGCACAGCAGCCCTTTTTTCGCAGTTGTACCGCTCTCCCCCAATTGAAAAAAAAAAAAAAAAAAAAACAGAAGAAGGAAAAAGGAAAAATAACTTCAGTTCATTTTAAAAAGTGAAGAAAAATGAACAAGATAAGTTCGCTCGCCAGGGAATTCAGAAGAGTATTGAAAAAGAAAAATGACAACAGAAACCAGTCGTCTATATTAAGAAACATAAAAATACAAAACATTTACGCAAATGATAAATTTAACAAAAGGGAACATTACGTTTATTTTAAGGAGTATGACATAAAAACAAACGGTATGAATGATGAATAGGGGCTCAGGTCCACGCGGACCAATACGCACACACGTGGTCTCCTAACAGTTGTTAAATTAAAGACAAGCGCCTTGCACCCTCGGGCGCGTTACCGCCTAGGGCAAAGTTGCACCTCTCCTTATGCCTTTTTCCCATTCGCAGATTCCAGCCACGCACGTGTTTCCAAAACGAAAAGATTGTTCAGTAGCGCAAGATGTAAATACAAAAATGCTCTTCTCTTTGCTACCATCGGATCCACCATAGGGATAGTTTCCTTCGTGTTTTTTATATCACCACAATGGAATGATTACAACTACTGACAGGGGAAAGCATTTTGCAAAAATTTTTGCCAAGATGCTCTGGGGAGAAACGTACAACTAATTCAGTCGTTTCGCATTGCTTCTCTGTTTTCGATTCCCAAAATGTCTATTCCCCCTATTTTTTTCCAATAACTTCTCCACAAATGGATGTTTTTGCGTAGTCAACCTTTTTTTTTTTGCTGATCCAGTTCACGTATACTCCTTGAGGTAGAAATTCAAGCAAGTGCTGAAAAAGCTTAGATCCTCCTTGGTTAGTGTGCCGTTATGTCCGCAGTTCACCAACAGGGGGCATCCCAGAATTCTGCAAATGGGGCGCAAATGGGGTGTAAATAGGGTGCAAATGGGGTGCAAATATGGTACAAATACTGTGTAAATGTAGTCGGTGTGATGTCGCGCCTGGCAGTGGGCGTAAGGACGCACCACGTGGCAGATCGCGACCGCAGCGAGGAGCCACCCCACTGAGTACACAGTTCCTTACTTGGGGGAGTAAACCTTATAAGCACCACTGTAGAAAACGTCAAAATGAGATATGGGTTCCAAAGTTAGAAGGTCGACATTTCTTGCAACCTCCTCAGCATGATTCAGGTTCGCATCCAAGGATGTGATAAGCCGTTCCCAAAATGTGTAAATTATATAAGTGTGAGTTAGAAGCTTCTTAAAAATTAATATGCGATAGATTAGGAAAATGATAAAGTGAATGTCCGTGCCTTGGTTAATGGTACTATATTCATCAATTAAGCTTTCCGAGTAGCTTTTCATTTTGCGCAATTCACTTTTTAGGGAAAGAAGAATTTTCAATAAGCTCATTCTGTTATTCAGGCGCATCCAGCTTACGTACTTTTCTAGCTCTTTCGAAAAATCCGCATCGTTTATGTCCACTCCAATATCGTTGGAAAATAAGTCCAGAAAGTTGCCACTGTTTAGGCGCGCCGCGTTATTTTTCTGGCTATTTTGCCCTTTCTCCTTTTTCGCCTTCAGGGCGAGCAGCAGCTGTGTGGGGTTCACTAAGTAGGTATCTTCGTCCAGTTGGTAAAAAACGCCTGCGGGGGTAGATGGGGCACAATCGGAAGAAGGAGAACTAACCGCAGCACCGTTCTTGAACCAATTCAGGCATACAACCAAGTCGTGCAAAAACATGGACCTCTTTATGACCACGTAGGGGGGAAGCATACATCCGTTGTAGTCCGCTCCGAAACGGGGATTGAAGTGAAAAGTGTCTTTGATTCGTTCCCCTTTATCCTTGGTCGTCCTTTTTTCCGGGTCTCTATGCCTAAAATATACATCCTCCGAGTCGCTGTTAGGGTACTCCCCATCGAAGAGCGGTTCTTCATCTGGGGGATGCTTCAGATGGTAGGAGTTGTTTCTGACGTTTCTGTGAGGATTGAAGCCCCCTTGGTCGCAACACTCAGATAAAATAAACGGAAGCTGATGGATGGAATTACAATATTGTTCCTCGTGAGACGGAATAAAACACTGAGAGGGGTAGGAACCATACACCTTCATTCTAAAAATGAAAGATTTGAAAAAATTTATTTTTTCATTTTCTGCAACTTGATTTAATTCTGCTAATGATTGCCCACAAGAATTCAAATTGTAATTAATCGCATCTGCAATCTGGGTTAAAGAATCACTAAATTTTTTTAGGAAGTTGATGATATCTGCCTCTTCTATGTTAAAAGCAGGTTCCTCCTTTTTCTTATTCTTGGTGTTTATATAATTATAGAGGTAGTCATTTTTGAGGAAAAATCCGCTATATGTGAAATGCACCTTTTCCACTTCCTTCCTCTTTGACATGTACAAATCTTTCAACATTTTGTTCAGCTTTTCCATTTCGAATTTGAAGTCTTCATTTTCGCGTAGCGTATCGCACACATTTGGCTTCTTCGCATGGCTATCCTTATCGGTACTTCCATCCATCCCGAAATCGTCGTAATTGGGATTTACCTTCTTAAATGTATCCATAAAACTCATGTTGTCATTATAAATGCAATAAATAGCATTGTGCGTTTGCTTCTCCAGGTTGTTTTCCTTCGAGTTGTACAAGGATATTATAGACTTATATGTTTGGAGCCCTATCGAAATGAACGAGTTGTTCGTTGTGGAAGATTTATTTAGAAATAAAATGCAATCGTTTATCACCTTCCAGCTCTGCAAAAATAGGCCTATGTCGATCTTTTTCACTTTATTTTCAAACCAGCACTTGTCCACACTTTCATCTATGATTAGTTGGGGAACAAAGGGGAGCTTCTCATTGGGGCTGCCGAGAATACTTCTATTCCGGAGCTGCTCCCTCTGAGGAAGTGCCATTTCGGGGAGGGCCCTCTTCTTTGCGTATAAATCGGAATAGGTACTTGTCTTCTGGATATATTCGCCATCATCACAAGTACCCCCCACCAGCGGCAGCAAATTTTGGCTGCTTTCTGCAAGACTTGGGGATCCCCCCGCGTTGCTCTTCACGTTGCCTCCCGCCTTGCCTCTCGCCATGCCGTCCCCACTTTTGTACAATTTGGAAATTTCCTTGGACACCCCCGTAACGACACTCGACATGTAGTGAATTATCTCGTCGTTGTTGTCGAAAATCAAAATTCTCGGTACATTCGAATTGAGGTAATATTTCGTGATGTCCAGTTTGTACGACGTGAACTGCAGGATGTTGTAGGCGTACTCTCCCACCATGTACTTGGCCACTTCCTCGAAATTGTAGAAGGACTTGTCGATGCACACGAAGGATATCCTCGGATGGTGGGTGCGTGTGGTGCCAATCCCCTCTCCGCCACGGTGGTAATTGTTGCGATGGTCCCTATTGCTGCTGGGGCCGCCCCCGCCGCTAGCGCCTAGGCTCAGGCTGATCTTCCTCCTAATCATCACGTTGGAAATTTTCAACTTGCAGAGCACAATGAACTGAAGCAGCAAGATGATATACTTCATCGGGATAAGGAGGATATTTAAAATTTTGTCTTTCCTCCTACTCATCAATTTTACCATTTTGTTTATTTGCTTGCAGGTGATCTTGATGCTAATTTCATTTTTGTACAACTTGTCCATATACTCCATGTTATCATTTTTTTGGTTAAAATTGCACAGATGGTAGGAGACATACGAGCAGAGGGGACCTCCAATGGACGTTCCATGTAACCCTAAATGTTTGACTCTCTTCGACAAAAGATACTCTGCAATTTTTAAAGCGTCCGAATTGTTTCTATTCAAATTAGGATAACCACTAGATTTGCTATATCCTCGATAGTTGTACACGAATACGTTCACATTATTTTCTATGTAAAATTTAAGGCACCCAGAATAGCAGGCGTTTAGTTCGTAGTATGCAGCATTGGGGTTGAAGTAGAGCACGACGGGTATGTCGCACAGATAATCGTCTTGATATATGTAATTGTAGAAGTTGTTGTTGAAGGCGTTTAAATAGACGTGGCCATTGGTGTGTGCATTCGTTAGATGCTCCTTTTCTGCCCCGTTTCGTGCCCCCTTTTTCTCATTCCGTTTCTTCAAATCGAGATATGATTGCATTTTATCATTTAGAAACCTCTTACATGGTATGAACATGCAATCTATTTTGGCACCATTGACTAGCAAGTACTCCTGTTTCCCGTAATATTTAAAAATCAGTTCATACTTGAACAAATCCATCGTTCCTGCTATGTGTTTTTTTATATAGTCATTAATATACTTAGTGATATTTCTCAATTCCATGCTTTCTCTTTGTGTGCTCACTTTGAAAAGCTCGCCTAGCTTGTTTAAAGAATATGTCAGATCGTCTAGCACTCGCTGGAAATCATCACCCTTTATGATCATAAAAAAGTCTCTATAATTAACATGCGTTATTGATTTTTCGTAATTTTCATGGTAAAACAGACTCAAGATATTTATGTCGATATAGTTGGGGGGGATAATATCCTTCGCAGAATTGTCTCCTTTCGAGTCATCAGAAATCTTGTCCCCTTTTTTCCCCTTCGAGTAGTTCCTTGGTTTTTCTTTCCCCTTGGGGGGATTCCTCCCGGGGGTTAAAGCGCCACGATTGCCATTACTTCCTTTAGAATTATTCTCATTCCCATTTTCGGGCAACAAGTTTGCATATTCCTCCGCTGCCTTGCAGTCTTGGACACAATTCCGGCTAAATAAGCGCTTCCAAATGTTGAACCTCCATCCTGCTGTCTGAAAAGATGAATCCTTTCCCCTTTCTCTTGTGGGCGCGATGAATTTCTCGTAGGTGGGATTTCTACTAAGTATGAACTGGTGCACTGCTTCGTTAAAATCTTTGTGGATCTTTATTTCGATGAGGATTTCCGGGTATATAACATCCTCCTGATGAATGTACACCTTCAGTTCGTTTATTTTTATCATGAATAGCTTCAAGTAGTAGTAAAAAAGCAACTGCTCATCGCTGAAGTCGGCATTTTCTTCTATGTTAATGTAGAGGTAATAGCTAATGTAGAGCGTGTAAAATATATATAGGCCGCTGAAAAAGTTAAAGTAGTTATCTTTGTTATTGGTATTTGAGAACAGCTGCTCTAGTTTAATTTTGAGGTTTTCACGGGGGTTATTTTCCTGCCGAATCACTTCCTTGGCGTTCGCTCGAATGTCACTTATAATCAGTGACAGCTTCACCGACTCTTTCATGTAAAACTTGCATAGTTCTACTCTGTTGTCGTAGTTTGTCTGCACATCGGGGGGGTGAAAAAAGGGCGTTCGTTTTGTTCACTCGTTTGCAATGGGTTCGCCTGTGTGTGACTTATTTAGGTGTCTTTGCGTTCTTTTTTTTTATCCTTTTTTTTTCCTCCTTTTTTTCCTCTTTTTTTTCCTCTTTTTTTTCCTCTTTTTTTTCCTCTTTTTTTTCCTCTTTTTTTTCCTCCTTTTTTTCCTCTTTTTTCGCATTTTGGCTCACCTTGTGGAAGTATATGAGGAGACTCCCGGGGTACGTCAGGGCCCTCACCACAAAATGGAAACATAGGTAAAACAGGGTAATATTCACAAACAGGTAGAACAAGGCATTATTGAAGACAAACAAAAACAAGGACACGTACGTGTAAAAAAAATAGAGTAACGTTACGAAGAAGACGATGAGCGAGCTATTTTTTTTAAAACTTTTGAACAATTTTTTGCAAAACATAATTGTAGACATGGGTTAATTGGCAATAAACTGTGTGGTGTATCGTTAGGAATTGCTCTCGCTCGATTGGACGTACGGGTGTACATTATGGTGCGTTCGGCAGCATAAAAAGGACGGTACGTTGTTGGAAAGGTGTGGAGGATGTGACTTTACACAGATACTAACATGCGTATATATATTTATTTACAAATACCTTACAAATGTGACGTAAAATTTGTTTCCCTGCGAAATTGGATAATGCCAATTCGATGAACTTAAACTGTGTATTCACAAACACCAACAAAGTCAATTTAACGATTTGGGATCTTTCAAATTGGGCGAAGTTGGACAAAATAATTTTTCTTCCTTTTGTGTACACCTTAGGGAAAATTCATTTTGTGTATTACACATGGAAAAAGAAAAAAAAAAAAAAAGCGTAAATATTGCATATATTCACACATGCAAATTTAAGCACACATATGCGTACAATACCACAGACACAGAACGCGTTTGCAAACGAAAACTTGTCACGTATGTTTCGATTCTTCGGGATGTTAAAATGGAGCCTTCGGAAAGGTCAATGTGAAAGACCAACTATGTACACTTGCAAAGCATTAAAAAAGGGAAACCTTTTCGTGCCACACAGCTTTGCGAGCTGCTAAAAGTAGAAATAGGCCATTTGGAAAAAGAGTCATAAGATAATCACATCTCGCACAGTTGAGCCATGTCGCCTTTCAGTGCTGTTTAGTTTGAGGCATATGTTTCCTTGGCTTATTTTCGTAAAATTTAAAAATGGGTATAAGAAAGTCATAGCGATGTGTCAAATTCGCTGCCTTTTTTTTTTTTTTCGTCAAACAAGTCACTTTGTGTCACGTGTGCGTGAATCCAAGGAATAAAAAAAAAACCAACAAACTCCGCAAAATGAGCATGGTGAAATATGCAGCGCCCACCTGTCGCAGCAAACTGGTGTGGCACAATCAAATGAGCGCAGGCGCTTCTCAGAATGATAAAAAAATTGAGAAGGCAACCCAGGCACCACGAACAAAGGGAAAAAATGGGTACTAAATCTTTAACTCATAAAAGTGAAGTCATGTTTCGAACGTGGCCACAAATGGGCGTGACATCACAAAGGGGGGGAAAGCGACCAAATATGCAAGAAGAAGCGGCGAATATATGCAGGAACAAACGGCGAATATATGCAGGAACAAACGGCGAATATATGCCGGAACAAACGGCGAATATTTGCAGGAAAAAACAAACTGCATTCACAAATGACACAATTCCTGCATACGTAAAAATGTGCACAGAACAACATGCGCACGCGGCGCATCTAATTTACCCACTTGTCGCACATACCTCGAACATGGCATGTTTCACTAAATAACGTACACATCATATTTTTCCTTCTTCTTTTCAACTGCTTCGCGGAGCTTCTCTTGTAACTTAAGCAAAACGGGGTGATGGACATCCTTCTCAAACTCTCTTTTATTTTCCGAACAAAGAATAATTTTTTTAACGGGTAAAATGTTTCTAGTTGTCGAGCAAATGAAGCAGAATTCGAAGCGTCCAATGTTACTTATGGTTATAGCTTCCTTTTTTAATTTCATGCCCTCCTCTTCGCATATGTGTATTATTTGCTCTCGTATGGTTCCCTTGAGAACAAGTTCGTCTTCTGCTGTATACAAAGTATCATTAAAAAAGCAGAAAAAATTACAAGTCAATCCCTCTGTAATTTCTTCCTTCTCGTTATATAAAACAACCTCGTGGCTATCTTCGCTTTTCAATTTTAGAAGTTTATCTCGTACATCAAACACATTTGAATATTTTATATTTGGCGTCTTCCTTTCCCCACACATGATATCTATCTGCACATGACTGCTATGTTTTGGTAAGCATTTTATGTAGCATAAAATGGAAAACGGCTCATTTGGAGGTACGCTGTTATCTCTGTGTACATCCCACGTAATGGTAACCATAACCATATAATTTAAATTTTCACTGAAGTGTTTTTTTTTTATATCATCATTTAATGCATTCAAAAATTCGAATCCTGCTTTGATGCTTCCGCTGCTGCTTTTGCGAATATTTTCCAATGTCAAATTTTGCAAAATGTTCGTGATGCATTCTTTGTTATGGTCATTTATTTGTAACTCCAGAAGGTTCGTGGAGGACTTATGTAAGTTTTTCATGTGTGAGGTGAAGTTAAAAATGTATTCAAAGGATACTACCGTTTTCATTGTCGTGTACACTCCATCTATGCCCAGTTTGATAAAATCCTGGACAGCCATGTCGACTAGCGACGCTTCATTGTTTTTTATTAAAACTGCCATTTTTTTCTCTTATTTTCCAAAGGACGGAAATTGCAAATATATACCACAAAAAAAAAAAGAAGAAAAAAAAAATCTCTATTGTTGTACGTAAACATAAAAATATGTAACCCCCTTGGTGAGCGTATTTTGCAGCACCAGTTAGTCAAATTTGCGGAACGAATTACCCACGTCGCTCTGCCGACTTACCCAACTCCACGACAATGGATGGAGCAAGCCTTTTCCTCCACATCAGTGGGGTGAAAACACAAGCACACAAATAGTTACGAAACAGACATAAGGGGCAGAAATGCAAATTCGCGTGCATTTCTGCAAGCGGAAGTACCTATAATTGGGGCAGATATCTTCCTGCAGCTGCCACCAAAAAGCTTAACAGTACTTAAATACATTTGTCCACGCAGCAACGCCCTGGTAGCACATTGGCGTGAAACTATCAAGGAATTAATTATGGCCAACTGTGACAAGGCCGGTTTAGTTAACCTTCTAGCTTTATCAAACTTTGCTTCAAAAAAGAAAAAAAAAAAAGAAGAAGAAAAACATTCAGTAGCGCATTTTTAACGTTGTAAAGGTGGAAAAAAAATCAAACTGTACTCATTTTCTTCGTCATTCTTTCTTCACCACATGAAGTTCTCATGTAATATGAAAAAACAACGTGGGGTGTCCACTCCGAAAGTAAAAATATACAGAGGAGAGCATACTAATGTTTTCTTTTGTTTGTCAACAGAATTAATTTTTATTCGTTCTTTCTAATTGCCTTTACGTTAAGGAGAAAATGGAACAGAAACAATTAGATAAAAAAAAAAAAAAAAAAATCTTTTTTTTTTTTACTTAACAACAATGTAGTTGACCTCTGCTGCATGTAGCATATTCGCGGCCTGCCCTCTCTGCGGCATGTGGAAAAAGGGGGAATACATTTGTTTATTTTCAATTCTTTGCGCCGCGTTCACTGATTGAAGTCAATTAATACGTTTTTAAACATATGCACATTTTTTCTTTTTGTCATTTTCTTGCTTATATACCTCCTTATTTTCCTGCTTATTTTCTTGCTTATTTCCCTGCTTATTTTCTTGCTTATTTTCCTACTTATTTTCTTGCTTATTTTCCTACTTATTTTCCTGCTTATTTTCCTACTTATTTTCCTGCTTATTTTCCTGCTTATTTTCCTACTTATTTTCCTACTTATTTTCCTGCTTATTTTCCTGCTTATTTTCCTACTTATTTTCCTGCTTATTTTCCTGCTTATTTTCCTGCTTATTTTCCTGCTTATTTTATTTATATTTTTTTTTTTCCCCATACCGTAGGGGTCTTTCCAGTTTATGAATACGTAATTCCAAATTTGTTAAATCCCCGTCCGCAGCGATGACAAAAGGGGAAAAAGACATATGACCCAGAAATGTTCACAACAGGACTAAATTCCCTTTTCAAGCGTCATACATATCTAAATTTGCATTCTACTATTTTTGCAGGACATTTTTCATGCCCACTTCCTTTAATTTTGTCTATGCCATGAAAAGAGGAAAGCAAAACGTTACCATTATTGACTGAATATTTCGTGGCGTGTTAACTATTTAAAAAAAAAAAAGGATAGCGAAAGGGAAAACAGGAAAAGCTAGTCAAACAAAGTGTGAAAAACAAACTGACGCACAAACAAAACTGAAGAGTTAACAAATACATTAAGGTGACATTTGCAAAAATGCTAAGCATAAATCATGCTTGCCGTTAAAACATTTGTTAAAGAGGCCTAAGAGTACGAAGAGAAAGGGCCAAAGGAAAAGGCAAGACAAGGCGTCCTTCTATACTCTGTTTGCTGACTTGTGAAAGTTGTACGCGTAGCGAATCTCTACACATGTATATCAATATGTTTCCAGCTGCATATGTCTATAGCCGCGAGTGCACCCCCTCATGGAATCTACAATTAAGCGGATGAGGCAAATAAAATGAAAAAACGCAATGAAGAGTTTGACGACTATTACGATGTGTATGAGGAGAACTGGACAAACGACACATTCGAGGAACTGGAATATACACAAAGCCTGGAAAAAAATATAAAAAAAAAATTAAGTAAAGAAGAGTCAAAGCAAAGTATATTTTTCTGCACAGATGATAACACTAAAATGAGTAATGTCGAGGAAGCGCACCTAAGTAGGAGCGATTTAAACTTAATCAATGAGTTAGAAACTTCCAAGGAGGAGAAGAGGAACATCGATTCAGAATTTAGCAGAGTAAGCGAGAGGGGAGGCCCCCAGGGGAATGGCCCAGGAGGGGGAGTACACCAGTCAGCCGACCAAATGGATGCAGACAACCCCGTGAATATCACAGATGATTACCATTCAGAGGGACAAGCATATGACTACCACTCCGAGGGCCAAGCGGATGACCGCATCAGTGACAAACTAGGCGAAAGCAAAAAAACAGATCAGGAACTATTTTTATTTAAAGACATTTACGAAGAGCTAGAAAAACGCCCGAACAATGAAAAGGACAGTAGTTACCCATATGATGATAACTTTTGCAAAGAAAATGACGATTCACCATTTTTGGATAAATTCGAATTCACCAGCAGTAACAACGAATCAGACAATGGAGAAGATCGATCGGGCAATTTATTTCATATGGACAAGTCATCCATGGAGATGTGGGATAAAATAAATAGCAAGGGGGCGGTAAGTTACGGGAATGGCGTAGACTGCCTTG